TGGACTTTACCTTGACTCCTCAGGATCTCCTTGGACTTCTGAAGCTTCTCTGGTTTTCCTGTGGCTCCTCTGATTGACTACTTGGACATTTCCACGATTCCGCTGGATTACTTATCTGTGCCCCATAAATCTCCAGGACACAGCATTTACCGCTCTCCTCTCCTCCCTGCCAGCCCGCTCTCCTGCTCTCCTCGTGCCCCCTCTCCTGGACAGCCCCTCTTGGATTCACCCCGGCACTCCACCTACCCTCCCCAATTCCTCAGCCCCCACCTACCCTCCCCAATTCCTCAGCCCCCAGTTTCCCCTAAGTCTTTACTCTGCACCTTCCTAGTTTAGATTTACCTCCCTGGTCTCACCTGTTCCTCTGCTCTCCCCTCCTCAGACGCTGCGGTTCCGTTGCAATCCCCACTGGACCTTATTCAGTGCGCCCTCAGTTCTCGATTTTTTAAATAAAATTCTTTAATTTTTCTAATTGACTCATGAATGGTGAATTCTGCATGTCTTGGGTTAAACTCGTCCCCAAAACCATGTCAGAATCATCCGGCCAAGCTGCTATCCCCGCAGATTCACCTCTTACCGATCTACTCAGCAGGTTGTCTCAGCAGGAGCAAGTCCTGCCACTGCTTATGGAACAGCTTCAAGCCGCTAACAACCGTTTCCAGCAGTTGGAAGCCATGGTACGGCAGGAACAACTCAAACTGTCCCAACCGCAGCCCCAGGCCCCCGCTGCGGAGCCTCCGCTCACCGCCCCCGTTCCCCCTGCAGTTCTCGGGCAGGCAGGAGCAGCCACCCTGGAAGTCGCCTATTTCTGTCCAGCCTCCTCACCGCCATCACCGACGTTCAGTGGTGAGTTTGAGGACTGTTACAGTTTTCTGCTACAATGTCAGCTCGCTTTCGAGCGCTCACCAGGAACCTTTTCTTCGGACTCAGTCAAGATCTCATACATAGTAGGATTACTTCGTGGGAGAGCCCTAAGATGGGCTGAGGCGAAGAGTCACTGTGCAACTTTTCTGTCGGGACCTCTGGAGAACTTTCTGACAGATTTTAAATCAACATTTGGCAGTACTGAGTCTATTAAGGACATCAGTAAAAGACGGTGGAGTTTATCGCAGGGGCGGAGATCTGTTGCTGACATGTCTATGGAGTTTAGAACCCTGGCGGCTCGGTCATCCTGGAATGAGGAAGCCCTCCTCGCTGCCTTCACGGAGTCCCTCAACGACCGAGTTCAGAACCAGCTGGCACTGTGCCCAGAACCCCAGTCACTGGAGGAACTCATCCGCCTGGCCATTTCTATTGATAAACGCCAGCATGAACTGCGGCACCAGAACTCCAGTACCAGAACCTTCCCCACACCGGACCGTCACCATGAGTCGGGCACTCGGCCCTCCGCGGAGCCCACCACTATGGAGGAACCCATGCAGATGGGAAGGACACGCCTCAGCTGGGAGAAGAGGTCACATCGGATCAGGTCGGGTCTGTGTTTGTATTGTGGGGAGCCAGGACACTTTGCTAGAGCCTGTCCGGCTCTGTTAAAAGGCAGAGCCCACCAGTAAAGACGACACTACTGGTGGGCAGTAACTCTTCTTCTGCGAGCTCCTGCTGTGTACTTCAGTGTGTGTGTGTGTGTGTGTGTGTGTGTGTTTTTTTAACTCCGAGCAGTTTCCTATAGAAGTGCTTGTTGACTCTGGTTGTGAGCAGTCCTTGTTGGACCCGGACTTAGTAAAGAGATGGAAGATCCCAACCATTCGGCTCCCTACTCCGCTCTCAATGTCTTCCTTGGACGACCGGAACCTGTCAACCATTACTCACCAGACCATCCCGTTGCAGTTACGAGTGTCAGGTAACCACACGGAGGCTTTGGCTTTTTATGTGTTTCCCTCTCTTCAGTCACCTCTGGTCCTGGGACACTCCTGGTTCTCCCTCCATAACCCCCACGTGAACTGGGAGACTAACAGAGTTGAGGAATGGAGCTCCAGATGCTCACAGACCTGCCTCCGCTCAGCCTCACCCATTCTCCGCATCTCTGCCGCTACGCCAGCAGAAAGGATAGACCGGTCCTCTGTGCCACCGATCTACCATGACCTCAGCCTAGTCTTCAGCAAGGATAGGGTATTATCCCCCCCCCCCCCCCCCCCCCCACACACACACACACACACACACACACACAGGGCATTTGATTGCAGCATAGATCTGCTGCCAGGGGCTCCCCTTCGCTCCAGCCGCCTTTACCACCTCTCTAAACCAGAAAGAGAGAGCATGGAGAGCTACATACAGGAGTCTCTGGCCGCCTGCCTCATCAGACCATCCTCATCACCCCTAGGAGCGGGTTTCTTCTTCGTTCCGAAGAAGGAAGGAACCCTCAGACCCTGTATTGACTACATGGGTCTGAACCAGATGACCGTTAAGAACAAATATCCGCTGCCTCTACTAACATCTACTTTTGAGCCCATTCAAGATGTCAGCATCTTCAGTCACCTGGATCTCCGGAACGCTTACCATCTGGTTCGGATTCGTCAGGGAGACGAATGGAAGACCGCGTTTAAGACTCCCATCGGACATTTCGAATACTTGGTGATGCCCTTTGGTTTAACTAATGCACCAGCCGTGTTCCAGTCCCAAGTGAACTCAGTTTTAGATTTTCTGAATAAGTTTGTGACTGTTTATTCAGATGATATTTTGATTTTTTCGAACTCCTTAGAGCAACATGTAAGACACGTTAGGGCCGTGTTACAGCGCTTCCTGGAGAACCGCTTATATGTAAAGGCGGAGAAATGTGTGTTCCACATCCCCAAGTAAAGTTCCTTGGTTTTATCATCGAGAGCGGGAGGCTAAGGGCAGACCCTGAGAAGGTCAGTGCAGTCACTGAGTGGCCCATTCCAACTTCTCTAAAGCAGTTGCAAAGGTTCCTGGGCTTCGCCAACTTTTACAGGAGGTTTACAAGGAACTACAGCCAGACCGCCGCCCCTCTGACAAACCTGACCTCTGTTAATCGCCCTTTTGTTTGGTCCTCAGAAGCCAAGGCTGCCTTCCAGACCTTAAAGAGGAAGTTCACTAACGCCCATGTGCTCCACAGACCTAATCCGCAATGCCAGTTCACCCTTGAAGTAGACGCCTCCGACACCAGCGTCTGCACTGTACTCTCTCAGGTATCTCCCACGGATAATAAACCTCATCCCTGTGCCTTTTTTTCTCGCCGTTTAACTCCCTAACTGAGAGCTGCTGGGTGTAAAGCTAGCTATTGAGGAGTGGAGACACTGGCTGGAGGAGGCAGAAACACCTTTCGTCATCTTGACTGACCACAAGAATCTGGTTTACCTGAGAGAAGCTAAGAGGCTTAATCCACGACAGTACAGGTGATCTCTCTTCTTCTCACGTTTCAATTTCCAGATTTCTTACCACCCTGGGTCTAAAGACACAAAACCAGACGCCCTCTCCAGGTTGTACGCTCCGGATCAGGAGGTTGAGCCCTCCACCATTCTCCCCCCAGCATGTGTGGTGGGAAGAGTCACGTGGGAGATCCGGGATCAGGTGCTGGAGGCTATTAAAACTGACCCAGGTCCAGGTAAGGGTCCGCCTGGCCGGCTTTATGTGCCACAAGGCTTAAGGGGCAAGGTCATCCATTGGGCACACACCGGCAGGTTTTCCCTGCGCCCAGGTGCAGGTTGCCCTATTGAAACTGACTTTCTGGTGGCCTGCTATGTACAAGGACGTGAAGGACTACATCTCGGCGTGCCACGTATGTGCCCAACAGAATGGGGACCATCGGTCTCCGGCAGGCTTATTAAACCCCCTTCTTACTCCCTCCCTCAGTTACCTTGACTCCTCAGGATCTCCTTTAACTTCTGAAGCTTCTGGAGCTTCTCTGGTTTTCCTGTGGCTCCTCTGATTGACTACTTGGACATTTCCACGATCCCGCTGGATTACTCATCTGTGCCCCATAAATCTCCTGGATGCAGCATTCACCGTTTTCCTCTCCTCCCTGCCTGCCCGCTCTCCTCGCGCCCCCTCTCCAGGACACCCCCTCTTGGATTCACCCCAACACTCCACCTACCCTCCCCAATTCCTCAGCCCCCAGTTTCCCGTAAGTCTTTACTCTGCACCTTCCTAGTTTAGATTTACCTTTACTCAGACTCTTTACTCGTGAGTGGTGAATTCTGCATGTCTTGGGTTTAACTCGTCCCCAAAACCATGTCATGTGCCACCATGCAATTATATATTTACCCTGGTCTATATACAATAGTGTACAAGCATATTGCACAAATAGACTTTGTAAGCTCATCCAACAACTTAGTAAATTCTAGAGCTGCACGATATTAGAAAAACCTGCCATATACAATAACAGTGATTAATATTGTGATGACGATACAAAAATAATCAAAAACAAAAAAATTTAAAATGACAAAAAAATCATATAAATGAGAAAAGCTAAAGATGTGTGGAAAGGGAAAAAGAAAATGAACAAAAAAAGGCAAACAGTGGATCACGGGAAAAGCTGAATCAGCAGAAAGAGCAGAACAAAGCTAACTCAGGTGTTTGCTAACCATCAAAATTAAGTATCGTCCGCCTCGGGAGCGGGCATCTAACCTATGAGAACCCACCCAATTGGCCAAATGGGTGAAGAGCTCTATTTGATTTGTTAAACATCATGCTTCTGTTTGACTGAATGCATTATGTGTAACAAACATTTGAACTGACTATTCATTGTGATATTTATCAGTTCAATGAGATATGCATATTACGCATGCTGATATCGCGATAACAATATATTAGCAATACATTGTGCAGCCCTGGTAAATTCCATGTTTAACACGTGCAGAAAGATACACAGCTCTACTCTACTGTAAAAGTGAGTCTTCGTCTTGGTATCATCAAAGACAAATGGCGCAATTTGTTACAGAAATTAACTCAGGAACAGGAAACAGACATGGACAGAACATATTTCATTACAAACCAGATACTTTGTAGTATTTGGGCATCCTAATGATGGATCAGGAGAATAGTGAGTAACAACCATAGACTGTACATATACTGGACAATTCGATTCCATAGGCTTCAATAACACGTTATCTGTCCATAATGGGAGGTGTCCACCACCGCCATTTTGACCGTGTCACAGGTTCCGTCCAGCCCAGACAATTCCATAAAAGGGAAGAGAGGAGGCGCTGAGGGTGTGGCTGTAAGGCTGGGCTCGAGTGACGACACCCAGGCGAACTAGCTACGAGCTAACCTGAAGCTAACCCTGGCTAACCCAAAGCTAAAGCGGAGGTGGGAGCCGAGCTAACGGATGTAGCCACCTAGCTTCAACCCAACCGGAGCTAACTGGAACACCCATCGACCTGAACCTCACACGGAGTTTAGGTGGAGGTTTTCTGCGCCTGTTCGTGAGAAGTACCTGTATTAAAAAAGTTTTAAATCGGTAAGTTTATAATTTATTTCCGTAATGAATACATTTTGCTTTGAGCAAGTTTTCAGTACAGTTTTTTTCGGCGCTAACACTCCTGAGTCGCACCAGCCATTAAATGTATCATGAAGAAGAGAAAATATATTTAAGTCGTATTTTGGGGGGACATTTTATTATCTTTCTTACAAAATCTGAGACCAAACGTTTCACATTGCAACACAAGCACCGGTAACCATAACAGAATGAACAGCCAGCAGAGGAGAGGATGGCGGTGTTTCAAACCCTCCCGGCCGGCGTGTAGAGCTCATTCCTGGGCTGGAGCCGGCCCTCAGCACCCCGCCACAGGCTCTAACAGATGCTGGCGGTGTTGCATATATTTCCAAAACGTAATACTTGTTTGTATCTTGTACAGCCAACTAGCCTTTATTCTGGACTCAGTACAATTTACCAAAAGTAAAGAGACATTATACAGATGAAGTAAGCACAAGATAACTTACTGGAAGACACGGGATTATCATCAGAACCAGAACAAGAGAGCCTGATAACAGTCATGTGAAAATAACAGTTAAAAAGTATGTATGTATAATAGAAATAAAAATATATTAGAATTAGTGTAACTCACTGTGATCCAAACAATAAATCAGCCATAGCTGATTAGTAAATATGACATGAGGTTTGGGAGTTTTTAAGTTTCATTCTTTTATTACATTTTTTTCTTAGATCTATTAAAAGGTCACCATGGCAGCCTGTGTGTCAACGTCAGCTACACAAAGCAAGTGTAAGTAACAAGTACTTGTCTTGACCACTTCATGTATGGTTTTGTACTTTAAACAACTAGGCCAAACCTGTTATTTTTTCTCCATAGCCATTTGGATCATTGGAGACAGCTGAGTGAGGCGTGGTGCCCAGAGAGCTGCAGAGACAACCTTGGCCTCCCTGACGTCTGTGTCTCTTGGTTTGGTTGGGGCGGACCATCGACATACATACATACATGTGCCGACAATTTGCGCCCTGTTTTATAAAATGTAGTGTTAAAAATAAATGTTTTTGCTCAATTACTGGAATTTCTTTGGTTAAATCAAAAGTGAGGAATAATCATTTACAAGTTATTTGTACAACAGGCCCATTTTAAATCCCAACAGTTTCTTAGCAGACAATAGAAATGTGTTCTTTACTAACTTTACTTGGTTTGAAAATCTTACTAAAATAAACTTGAGTGCCGTATTGCAAAACCCAATCATACTTGTTATGTAAACATTAGCTTTGTAGATATTTTTTACAGATATATATTTGTGTGCAACAAAAAACAAACTTAAATAATTTGTCATTCTTTATTGAAAAACAACAAAATACAGGTATACAGAAGTGTGGGAAAATGATAATGTGAAAGTATTGCACTATAAATGAAGTGAGATGAGATGAAGGTGAGATGAAGGTGGATGCCAGCGGGCTGGACGCCGGACGAGGAAACCTGGAGACGGATCGCTCAGACAGGAAGGGAAGAGCTTCCTCTTACCTTGATGGAATTAAAGTTAGCCGTCGTCTGAACGCCCAACCGTACGGTCTGAGGTCAAAGGTCACAGGAAACACACACCAGTCAGCAGTCATACAGATGCATAAAAATAACTGTAGCCATGGCAACCAGCTGACATGTCCCCACTTTCACCAGCACCTGGTGCCTGCCGGGTCACCTGAATTCCTGTGTGATGTCAGCACGGTCGGCCGTGACTGCGGCCATCAGAGGTGACCTCTGATCAGCTGAATGAACTCACCTTCCAGGGTGACGCCGTGTTAGAGTCGGCTTCATCCTGTAAACAAACAAACAAACAAATGAGTGGTAACATAAACACCACGTCTGGTTCTGGTGGAGGCGGAGGACAACATGCACCTTTCCAGGAGCAGAACCCAGATGTTCTTGTTGCTACAAACAGAGACGAGCAGAGTTAAACCAGGAAGTGAGAGGGACCAGCTGCTGCAGACAGGTGATGCTCACCTGAGCCTGAACCATAGGAGCCTCCTCAGCCATCAGACCTTCTGACTCCAGTTCAGATGCCACCTTGTTGATGTCCCTCAGGCGGGACTCGTTGGCCTTCAGGTCCTGCAGGACAAAAGCACCTGCTGATTACCTTGTTGCGTTCGGTTTAACAGGTCTGGTGTTAGAACGTGGTGGATAAGAATGTTCTGACGGGCCGAGGGTTCTGAACTCACCCTGCAGGACTGGGCCTGCTCCTTCAGGGCCTGGATGCTGCTGCCGTAAGCCGACAGGTCCGACATCAGGGCCTCGTGCTTCTTCAGGAGAGCCTGTGGAGCAGAACATCAGAACCTTCAGCTCGTCTGACACAAGTGGAGCTTTCTCGCAGCGATGGTCCAATCGGATCCGCCACCGTAAAACAAACCCTGCTCAGTTCACCGCAGACGCAGCTCTGCGGGTGTTTAGTGGAAAAGCGTGAGCCTTCTGCCGGCTGCCACGTGTCATGGCTGCTCTGCAGCGGGAACACACATCACAGCTTGTAAACCGTTTGAAATAAGAGCGACGGGAACACGTTTGTCATCACTTCCTGTGCGAGGCCAGCACTTCTACCCCTAACCCATGAGACGCTCAAACGAGCAACGACGTCTGGTAGACAACCGAAGGAAATGACAAATACAGAAACACTAATTATGAAGGACTGGAAAGAGAGCAAAGAAAAGCGATTGGAGTTTCTCAGGAAGGGACTTCCATACCTCGGCCAAGTCCTCGTCTTTCCCTTAGTCTGGACTTCCAACGATGGGCTCCTTCTCCCTCATCCAGGACTCGGCCTCATTAGCATCCGCAAAGTACTGCTGGGCCTGCAGAGAGTCCTCCAGGTCCTGCCTCCTCTGGGACGCCTTGGCCTTCAGCGTGTCCCAACGTCCATGAAGCTCCCACAGTTTAGTCTTCACTTCCTCACCAGCGAAGTGACCTGGACCCAAAAAAAGTGAGCCAGAACCTGCAGACACCTCAGAAACATGTCAGGACCAGACCTGCTCTACCTTCTTCCACCATGGTCTCTCCTTTCTGGGTGACAGCCTTGATGCGAGGTTCATGACCTGTGATCTCAGCCTGCAGAGCCTGGTGCTTCTTCAGCAGGTTCTGGACACCAATCAGGTCCTTCCCTGAGGACACATGTTAGAGTTCAGCATTATGCAGTAGACAGACCAGTTTAACCCAGGGGTTTCTTTCTTCTACAATCTGCTCTTTAACTGTATTATTTCCTGCTATTTCAGCTGTTAACTTTATTTTTTCTCTAAGTGTTTTTCTCCCCAGAAGAAGCTACAATGATGTTTTGCTGAGCTGTGGTGGCCTCATGGAGGGGGCCATCGGCTAGCACACTGCTGCTAACCACATTCTCCCTCTCCTGATAGTAACATTTTACTTTCTTTGATGTTGGATGTGCTACTACTAGTTTACCCGTTTAATTATAGATTCACTAGGATAAATACAATAAAGTTTATCTCTTGCCAAATAGAATATTTACTGTGGCGAGCCCGTGAAGAGGTGTCGGAGAATGCGACAAATTTGTCTGTTAAAAAGTCTGTTATGTACAAAAAACACAATATCATCACACTATTTTGGACCGATACATGACGGTCAGGTCCAGCTTGGGGAGAAAATATGACACGTCTTTCAGGATGGACTTCATCTTTGGTAGCTGGCGAAGCCGGGAAAAGCAGGATCTAACCACCTGGCTAATGTGGGAGTCCATCCGCATCTCTGGGTCCAAAACCACCCCCAGGTTAGTGATGGTTGGCTTCACTAAGCTGCAAAAACAGGGTTGCAGGACAGGACTAACTGCAGTGGGAGAGGGAGGAACAAATATTCCAGTTATAAATATTAAATATTTGAACAAATAAATATTTGTTAAAAGGAAGAAACTGATGATGACTTTAAGATTAGAGGAATGTTCTAGAACGGGTCTGGAACCAACGATGGCCCTTTGGATCAAATTTGGATTAAAAAAATAGCTCATGATTTTATTTATGGATGGAATAAAAATACAGGTTTTAAGCATCTTCTCAGTATCTTCATGTTGCACGACTTTCCACAGCAGAAGGACACAAAAACTGCCAGAATTATGATTAGAAAGATTTACGTTTTAATCTCAGAATCCCAACTTTTCCCAGAATCTTCACATTATTCTATGAATTCAGAGAAAATATACATTTTTCAGAGGTGTCGCTCCCCTGTTGTGGATATTTCTCAAAATTCAACCATTTTTTCTTTTCAAAAGCTTTAGTAAGAGTTTGGACTCTAAACAAGTTTTACTTTGCAGACTGCTTGTCTACACCTTCATCAGATCTGCTCATAATAAAACATTTGGGTTATATTTAATGCCCAGGAAGATGCTCTTCCTGAGCATTAAGTTATCAAAAACAGATAAAAGTATTTTTTACCATAATTTTAACTGCTATCAGCTGATAAAAATAATAAAAAACAGCCTGATCATTAAAGAAGTGTTAGTGAAACCGCGCGGATCACACAAACCATCATGCTGTCTATATGACTTTGAAAATATATAGTTTAATTACAGTTTGATTTATTTGACATCTGTATAATGTTTATTATTTTGTTTTTTCCCCCTAAATGCCTAACGTTTTAGTTTTACATGAATATTAGTCATTCATCACAATACATAAAGTTACACATTTTAAATTTTAATAGGGGAAGACTGCAGGAGGGAGCGGTAAAATACAGAAATCCCCAGCAAAAACAAGAAACTTTACGAGTCTGATGAAACCCGCTGGAGTTCCTTCAGCAGGCCTGGTGGCAGCTACAACGACCCAGTGGCTGTGCTTGGTCAATGTTATCGAGCTCAGTCCGGCTCGGCCGTGAACGAGCCGAGGCGACATCCTGCTCTGCTTAAAAAGAGGTGTTATTTTCCGCTTCAGAAGAAGCGTCCGTGTTTTACGCTTTCTCAGAGACATGTCACGTTGCTAAGTTGCGCCGCGCGCTAACACGTCAATAGTGCAGCGTAGCCTGCTCGAGGTTTTAAGGGTTCAGATGAAAACACCCTACCACTCAGGCTGCTTACACATCGATATTAAGTTGTCGCTGTTGCGCTCACGCCGTAATACGGTAGATGCGGTTAAAGTCAGACATGAAAAACTCCACGAGCGGTCAGACCGCGCAGCAGCTAGGCGCAGCAAGTAGGCGCCGGATCGGTCAGGCTGCCCGGCCTGACCGCTGGGGATTACCGGATGGAAGAATGGACACAGAAGTCTCCCTCTTAGCGCTCCGTCATATTTCAACCCATTTTTATCTTAAATGCACTGGGTTTTACCCTATTACCCATCTAAATATGCCCTATTAATTATTTTACCGTATTTTACATTTAAATTTCATGGTTAAACAGTACATGCTACATGTTAAACTGATAGTTAGCTAGCTACTTCGGTAAACTCAGCTAGTTTAAAGGTGGCAGTGACGTAAAATACGAATATAGATTTTAACTTACCGAAAAAAATGAAGTGGAGACTCCTTGGACGCTCTATTAGTGCAATTAATACCACTGCAAGTCATTTTGTCCAACAATTGCACCAATAATATCCAAAGAAGAATACACAAACACAGAGACTCAAAATGCCGGAGCAGTTTCCAAGCCAGACCGAGGCTGTACTGAGGCCTTTCCACGGAGCTAGCTCTGTGGTCACGTGGGTCTGAGGCGGCGGTCACGTGTGTCGGATGCTCATTAATTATACAGAATTTTAGGCTTTCAATACACTTAAACAGAAGAGTGAGAAAAAAATTCACCCCCCTCAGAGTTGTCATGAGTATAAACTAGATAATTTAGACAAAAAACATGTTTTGGCACCAGGCTGTAAACATGTTTATTTCTGCTGTGAAATCGGCATTTTTAACATGGGAGTCAATGAGGATTTGCTCGCTTCTGGCACCAGCCCCCAGCGGATGAGGGTGGAACTGCAATTTTTCTTACTTCCGGGATGGGACCATTTTTAGAGCGGCATTGTGGGGGCTTGGTAACAACTGAGGGATAGTTGAAGTCCAAGTTGGCTGGTCTGATATTTAATTTAAACTGCTTTAAAATCAGCTAAATAAGAATGTCTCATTTCATTTAATGTCATTGTTTCCCTGATAAACAGCTTATGAAAAACAGCAACTGTTTGTTTAATCAATAATAATTAACCTTTCTCGCTGCAGTTTCAAGGGCAGAGGATTTTTATTTTACAGATTTAATTACAGTTTAGAAACATCTTAAGTAATACATTGCTGCAATCTGAATTAAGGAAATGGCATGTTATCTGTATTTTTTTATTTGTTTAGTGCATACATTTATGTTTACAGAAATTTTACTTTTATTATTACTGGGAATTAAATCAAAACCAGTCCCACTGTCCTGTACTGTATCTATTATTTCTATTTCCCAGAATTTTGTTTATGGTATTTTATACTAATAGGAATTAATTTAATATCTGATGATGACTGTTGGAAAATGCTAATTTATTTTGCGTTACACATCCATTCATGCTGGATTTGTTATTTATAGGATGATTAACTTGTTGAGAAGGAAAAATGGTTCAAGAGTGATAATTGGCGCCAACAAGACTTTTGTACGACTTTGAGGAGATTTTGGTCCACCATCCGACGCCTCAGGCATGGAAAGCAGTATGCTACCAACACTCTTTACAATGGGGAAGGTGTGCTGCTGACCTCAACTCAGGACATTGTGGATCGGTGGGTGGAGTATTTTGAAGACCTCCTCAATCCCACCGGCACATCTTCCAATGAGAAAGAGGATTCTGGGGACTTTGGGTTGGGCTCTCCGATCTATGGATCAGAGGTCACTGAGGTGGTCAAGATGATGAAATCTGCCTGGAGGTCCTGAAGGCTCTGGATGTTGTGGGGCTGTGCTGCGATGACATCGATGGCAGTACCACTGGATTGGCAGACCAGGGTGGGTGGAGGGTATTTAAAACCGCAGGGTGTGTTCCAGCTACAGGGGATCACTCCTGAGCCTCCCTGGTAAGGTCTATTTAGGGGTTCTGGAGAGGAGGGTTCATCGGATTGTGGAATCAAACTACATTGATCATGAGGATCAATGTAGTTTTCATCTTGATTGGAGAACACTGGACCAGCTCTACACTCTTAGGGGGGTCCCGGAGGGTGCATGGGAGTTCACCCAACCAATTTAAATGTGTTTTGTGGATTTGGAGAGGGTGTTCAAATGCGCCCCTCAGGGGGCCCTGTGGGGGTACTCCGGGAGTATGGGGTACTAGACCTCTTGAGGTTGTTAGGCCCTGTATGACCTGTGCCAGAGCATGGTTCACATTGCCGGCAGTGAGTCGGGCTCATTTCCGGTGAGAGTTGGACTCTGCCAAAGCTGCAATTTATCACTTATACTGGTCATAACGTTTATGGACAGGATTTCTAGGTTTAGCCAAGGTGTTGAGGGGATCTGTTTGGCGGCCTAAGGATCAGGTTTCCGCTTTTTGCAGACAATGTGGTCCTGTTGGCTTCATCAGAACGTGATCTCCGGCTTTTACTGGACAGTTCGCAGCAGAGTGTGAAACAGCTGGGATGAGAATCAGCTCCTCAAAATCCAAGACCATAGTCTTGAGTTAGAAAAGGGCAGAATGCCTTCTCCAGGTCAGGGATGAGTTCCTGCCTCAAGTAGAGGAGTTTAATTATCTCTGGGACTCGAGATCAACAGGCGGATTGGTGCATCTACAGCAGGGGTCGGCAACCTGTTTCCATCAAAGAGCCATTATTACCCGTTTCCCACAGTAAAGAAAACACTGGGAGCCACAGCAGCCGCGGCGATGTGGGCGGGGCCTACCCTTAGATAGCAGAGAGCTGCTTTAACCAATCACAACAGGTGACAGCAGCCAGTACCGGTCACTTGTGTACGTCAAAGTTATCTTTCATAAGACGATAATCAATAACATGATTTATATAAAGTGGATCCAGAAGTTGTAGCCCGTCTCTGCCTACAATATTTTGATATTTTTCACCCTGTAGGTGGTTTTACTGAGCAGGTGCCACTTTTGTCATACATTTCTTTTTAAAGCATGTTTAGACTGTTCAGAATACAAATCCAGGCTCTGTCATGTTTGATTGTTATAATTAAACTTTGTAGGTGGGGAAGGTTAGAAAAGGACCCGATCAATTTGTTTTTCCCTCATTTACAGCGACGGAGATAACGGCGCAGTGTGCCTGGCTCTGGTGGTAATCAAGTTAAATTATATCTCTTTGCAACAATGTCCACAAGAAAACAGAACAGTTAAAAGCAGGGCTTGTGTTGACCGGATAGTTCCCGTATTTGACCGTTTATTTTGACGGAGAAAGAATAGAAAGAATTACCCCGATGCATGCAGACGAACTGACATTTTATTCGTTATGCACATCGCAGATGTAGCTAAATCACTCAAGAAAAGATTCCCATCTGAACATCTGAGCTGGACACTGCTCAGCGCAGCTCACTGTCAGCGCGTACGTACGGTGCACAGCGAGCTGAAGATGTGGAGAGGGGCTTGGAGTGCGTCGCAGAACCAGAGCGCATGCAGGAAGATTCCTCCGACTGAAGCGAGACTTGTCACTTAGAAAATGTTCCCTGATTATGAAACTTTGGCTGAATAGTGCTTGTTCCTGTCTCCAATGTGGCGACGCATCCAGGAGCCTGTCTGAGGAGAATCCCAGAATCCCACATTTTCTTCAGCTCAGAATGCGCCTATATGATTATGCAGAAGCGTGACGCGTCAACCCGGTCTCACAGTAAGACCGGGTTGGAACTGTTCAGGTTTACGCAGACAATCTTTACATTTAGAATTGGCATACAGATGTAAAATTAATGCAGTAAAATATAAAGCATTTTATTTAAATATCCATTCATTATTTTACAAGCAAAGAGAGCCGCATCAGATGGATGGAAGAGCCGCATGCGGCTCCAGAGCCGCGGGTTGCCGACCCCTGATCTACAGTAATGCTGGTGTTGAATCGGTCTGTTGTGGTGAAGAGTGAGCTGAGCCGGAAGGCAAAGCTTTCAATTTACTGGATGATTTTCCTCATGTGGTCATGAGCTTTGGTTAGTGACCGAAAGAATTACATTGTGGATACAAGCGGCCGAAATGAGCTTACTCCGCAGGATGCTTCCTGGATGCCTCCCTAATTGGGAGGAGACCCAATGGATGGCCCAGGACAAGCTGGAGGGACTATGCTTCTCGGCTGGCCAGGGAACACCTTAGGATTCCCCTGGAGGAGCTGGCCCAAGGGCCTGGGGAGAGGGAAGTCTGGGCCTCTCGGCTTAGGCTACTGCCCCTGCGACCCACCCTGGATAAGCAGTCGAAAATGAATGTGGGTTTGAGTGCCACTCGAACCCGGATAAGCAAATGAAAACAGATGGATGGATGGACAAATTTGTTAAAGCAGACATGACATGACAAACAGAACTAAGCACACAAAAGGATTTGCAATAAGAAAGACCAAACAACTGCTTTTTGTTATCCAGTCTTCTTGGATTACACCTGAATAGGAAACGTGACAGTGAGATGGACAGCAGAGGCCCTTTTGTTATGATAGTCACCGATTCAGTTTTCCTGTCTTTGGGTCTTCCCAGTTTGTCTTTGATCTTGGATGACATGTTATGCTCAGAGCTGATCATTATCACTAAAGAAAATGACAGAAAACTGATAGTTGAAATATGTTTAAATGTGGCGTTATCATTTCCATTTAAGTACACAGTACACATTAAATACCTATAATTTTTGCTGCAGAGATCAAGACTGTTTATTTTATAATACTCTATTGTTTCTCACTCTCCTCTACTAAATTGACACAAAGTTAAATAAGTTCACATATTAAACAGTATTGCGTTAAATAAAGAAGCTGAGTAACCCTGAAGATCTGATTATAAATGGAAATAAAAAAAACCTGTTTAAACACATGATAAAGAGACTAGTAAAACCAGTCATGGTGATGAGCAAAATCTAGCTGAGTCATGGTGACGGGAAAACTTGTGTTGCTTCTATTTAGGTCAGATTCTGTGACCTTTCAGCAAATGACTTCACAGCTTAATCGGACAATAGTCTTATCGCTATTTAGGAGTCGTCTAACAAATTAAAGCCAGATTTTATTGGTAAATAGAGGCTACATGTACATTAGGCTAGTTTAATTTTTGTAACAACTTGCAAATAAAACGTGATAAAATAGTAATATAAAGGCAACACCAGCCAAAGTCTCCTTTAGTGTGTGTGACTAGTAATGTCTAAGCTGCTACACCCTGATAGTAAAGGACAAACTCCAAGATATTGTCACGTAGTTTAAACAGATAGCACAATGATTTGGTGGAATCAACAATGTTGTTTAATGAAATGCATAAAGCAGTAGAATACCTTGTGCAGCTACAGTTTGTACTGTACACACAACCTAGTTCTGTCCTGGTCGAGGGGATGGGCTCCGTCTAAACTCTGGCACCGCTCCTAAACAGTCCCCCTTGAAAGTATTCCAGGTACATTGCCACAGTTGTACTTCAGCAGAATAACTTGTCATTTCTCCAACACAACCCTACCCTAACACAATAAATATGATTCACAGTTCGACATTGTTGCAAAATCAAAACAAAATCTACTGCGGCATTATGTTTTGATACTTTCTAAAGTTTACACCCAAAAATAGTACGTTTAATTGACGCTTTGTGATACTCGTTTGTGATTGGTCAAAATTTTAAAAAGGGCGGAAACAATTCCCAAAGTCTTTTTCTAATGCGCGTGACCTCTGCCAGTCATGCAATGGGGTGGTGCCCACACTTGCTAGAGAGGTGCGGAGCAATTCGGCTTTACTTCCTGGGAGGTAAACAAGCGGATTTAAACCTCTTAAAGGACTTCCAGGTTTGGCGGAGTTGGGTGGTTAACGGTTTTGTCGTTCGAAGTAAGTGAATTATATTTTTGTTAAGAAATTAGATGTAATAACCCGCACAAATGTGTGCGGGAATTAAAGCAGGGGCAGATTATATGGGGTAGATGACTACGCAGAATGCATCAGACAGGGTCAATTCAGATCCGTTTTCACACACTACCTCCTTCATTTAAATTTGATTTGTTTATATTAGCTGTAGCTCACTTAAATTACGACTCGTGGTATGTTTACATTGCATCAAATTTCAAATTAATCTTTAAATATTTGCCCGTTTAATGCTTAATATTTAAGAAACGCATTTTTAGGGTTTATTGTTCTAAACATTTGCATTTTCTCGTGTATTTGTCATGTGTGCTGTGGCTTTTCTATACGTGTCAATGGTTGTAGTTAAGGAAAAACCCTACCATCAAATATGTGCCCTAGCTACTGGGTAGCAAACAAAATATTTGAGAACATAAAACAGTTACTTTAAAAAATCATCAGGTTTTATGCCACGTATTCCTATCCAAACTTGTTCCAGTCTCTCATCAGCAGAATCTGAATGTGCAACAGCAAAACAGGAAGTGGAGATTGTTGCAAAAGTTCACAAGTTTGCCTGAGTGAATTGTTATTAACCAGAAATTAAATTCCCTGCAGGGATGATACTCAGAATGGCTTCACTGCGGGGTCTGAGGCAATGCCACCCCACAGGCTTTACAATCTCCCATCTACACACCAGCAGCCGGGCCTCTGCCAAGCAGCATTACAAGATGCTAGTCCTTGGAGGAGGAAGTGGAGGAATCACGATGAGTGCACGGATGAAGAGACTGGTTGGAGCGGAGAATGTGGCAGTCGTGGAGCCGTCAGAGGCAAGGATGCATTTGGTTATGACCAGCGTTGTCCACTTTTTTCTGTATCTTTAAAGAACACGAGTAAATGCTTGAAAATTGTAAGAATGTCAACTGTTTTGCAAAGCTGATATATTTTTGTGTTTTTTCAGATGCACTACTACCAGCCAATATGGACTTTGGTTGGTGCTGGCGCTAAAACTGCAGCCTCGTCAGCTCGTACCACTGCAAGTGTCATGCCATCTGGTGTGAAGTGGGTGAAATCCAAGGTTCAGGAAATAAACCCGGACAAAAACACAGTCCGTACGGATGATGGGACAGAGGTAGATGCACTTCAGAAAGTTTGACAAAGTTATTCCTAAAAATTGACTTAAAGAGTTAATCTTTGCATTTATTTTTACACATTAGTTGAAAAACAGTCCTATCTCAGTTGTTTTCCACTCCACAGATCTCCTATGAATATCTGATTGTGGCTCTTGGTATTCAACTCCATTATGAGTGGGTGAGTTTGCGCTTATTTCACTCTTTGATTCTACGTGAATAAGTGCTATGTAAATATAATTATTACCAAAGAAATGTCTTTATCTACGTAGATTAAAGGGCTGCCAGAGGCTTTTGAGCATCCAAAAATCGGATCGAACTATTCTATCAAAACCGTGGAGAAAACATGGAAGGCTCTGCAGGACTTCAAAGAGGGCAATGCTGTGTTCACGTTCCCAAACACTCCTGTGAAGTGTGCTGGAGCTCCACAAAAGATCATGTACTTATCAGATGCTTATCTCAGAAAGGTACATCACCTCTGGGAACAAATCACATTGTAGTCTAAAAGGTAGATTGTGTTGTTCCAAATTTACCCTGGATGTTTTTATGCTGCAGACAGGAAAAAGAGCAAAGGCCAACATATTATACAACACATCGCTACCTGTGCTCTTCGGGATCAAGAAATATGCTGACACGCTGTGGGACATTGTGAAAAATCGAGATCTACAAGTGAACCTTCGCCAAAATCTTATTGAAGTGCGGGCCGACAAGCAAGAAGCTGTGTTTGAAAATCTCGACAAACCAGGAGAAACCAAAGTGTTTGAGGTAAATGCCTCACTAATGAAACCATTTTCTTTCATTGTGGTTTTCACTGCTTAGTTTAATCAACAATAGTTTATTTGATGTTGTCTTATCATAATTCTTTAGCACTAAAACAAATCTGTTTTCTCTGTTAGTATGAAATGCTTCATGTCACTCCACCAATGGGGCCTAGTTTGGTCATTAAAGGTGGCCCACTGGCCAACGAGGCTGGATGGTTGGATCTCAACAAAGATACCCTTCAGCATAACAGATATCCAAACGTGTTTGGGATTGGAGATTGCACCAGCCTTCCTACGGCCAAAACCGGTGCAGCTGTTGGTGAGTGACTGTCATTAGTTTTACGAGTGCTAAAAATGTGCCAAGCTTTTATTGGGACTCAAAAAGCTGCAATCTTTTAACAACAATCTTGCACAACTTCTGCTTTACACAGTATCATAAAATGTAAGCCACACCTGAATGAAGGAAGCAATGGAGGGTCATTTTCAGATTATCTGATGGGCTCCGTCATTGCTTTTGGCATCTTTATGTATGAGGAAACTTTTATTCTTACGTTACACGCTGTCTGATTTTAAAACTGAGGTAGGGTTGGGCATCGAGCATCGATTGGAACCGGTTCCAACTGTTAGTTTTTCCTGGAATTGTTCAAAGTTTTTTATTTCGATTCCTAGTTTTGATTCCTAGAATGCCGACCGGAAGAGGAATCCGCGGCCGATCTCCATGAGAAATAAATGTGATCTGCAAATTGTGATCAATGCTTTCCAGAGCTGATCACACCAGCTGTCTGTTTGCAGTACCGAGTCCCCCCTCCCCCCAGCCGACACGCAGCGGCCAAATATTAACAAACTCATCTGCCGAACTTTTACTCCGTGATGTAAACTTTGATTCCTGCAGCGAAAAATGCGGCGTAGAGGAAACTTGTTAAAATACAGGTCCTTCTCAAAAAATTAGCATATTGTGATAAAGTTCATTATTGTCTGTAATGTACTGATAAACATTAGACTTTCATATATATTAGATTCATCACACACAACTGAAGTAGTTCAAGCCTTTTATTGTTTCTAATATTGATGATTTTGGCATACAGCTCATGAAAAACCAAAATTCCTATCTCAAAAAATTTGCATATCATGAAAAGGTTCTCTAAACGAGCTATTAACCTAATCATCTGAATCAACTAATTAACTCTTAACACCTGCAAAAGATTCCTGAGGCTTTTAAAAACTCCCAGCCTGGTTCATTACTCAAAACCGCAATCATGGGTAAGAATGCCGACCTGACTGCTGTCCAGAAGGCCATCATTGACACCCTCAAGCAAGAGGGTAAGACACAGAAAGACATTTCTGAAGGAATAGGCTGTTCCCAGAGTGCTGCATCAAGGCACCTCAGTGGGAAGTCTGTGGGAAGGAAAAAGGGTGGCAGAAAAGGCTGCACAGCGAGAAGAGGTGACCGGACCCTGAGGAAGATTGTGGAGAAGGACAGATTCCAGACCTTGGGGGACCTGCGGAAGCAGTGGACTGAGTCTGGGGTAGAAGCATCCAGAGCCACCGTGTACAGGTGTGTGCAGGAAATGGGCTACAGGTGTCTCAGTCCCCAGGTCAAGCCACTGTTGAACCAGAAACAGCGGCAGAAGCGTCTGACCTGGGCTACAGAGAAGCAGCACTGGACTGTTGCTCAGTGGTCCAAAGTACTTTTTTGGATGAAAGCAAATTTTGTATGTCATTCGTAAATCAAGGTGCCAGAGTCTGGAGGAAGACTGGGCAGAGGAAAATACCTGAAGTCCAGTGTCAAGTACCCACAGTCAGTGATGGTCTGGGGTGCCATTTCAGCTGCTGGTGTTGGTCCACTGTGTTTTATCAAGGGCAGGGTCAATGCAGCTAGCTATCAGGAGATTTTGGAGCACTTCATGCTTCCACCTGCTGAAAAGCTTTATGGAGATGAAGATTTCATTTTTCAGCACGACCTGGCACCTGCTCACAGTGCCAAAACCACTGGTAAATGGTTTACTGACCATGGTATTACTGTGCTCAGTTGGCCTGCCAACTCTCCTGACCTGAACCCCATAGAGAATTTGTGGGATATTGTGAAGAGAAAGTTGAGAGACGCAAGACCCAACACTCTGGATGAGCTTAAGGCCGCTATCGAAGCATCCTGCGCCTCCATAACACCTCAGCAGTGCCACAGGCTGATTGTCTCCACGCCACGCCGCATTGAAGCAGTCATTTCTGCAAAAGGATTCCAGACCAAGTATTCAGTGCATAACTGAACATAATTATTTGAAGGTTGACTTTTTTGTATTAAACACTTTTCTTTTATTGGTCGGATGAAATATGCAAAATTTTTTAGATAGGAATTTTGGGTTTTCATGAGCTGTATGCCAAAATCATCAATATTAGAAACAATAAAAGGCTTGAACTACTTCAGTTGTGTGTAATGAATCTAATATATATGAAAGTCTAATGTTTATCAATATTTTACAGACAATAACGAACTTCATCACAATATGCTAATTTTTTGAGAAGGACCTGTACATCAACACAGTGGATTTAATAGAAGCTTTAAAGAACAAACTGGACGGTGTGAGGTGAGTCTGTCTCACTGCAGAAATAAAAACACGGAGCGTCAGCAGTCAGACGCAGCCACTCACCAACGTGTGTGTGTGTGTGTGTGTGTGTGTGTGTGTGTGTGTGTGTGTGTGTGTGTGTGTGTGTGTGTGTGTGTGTGTGTGTGTGTGTGTGTGTGTGTGTGTGTGTGTGTGTGTGTGTGTGTGTGTGTGTGTGTGTGTGTGTGTGTGTGTGTGTGTGTGTGTGTGTGTGTGTGTGTGTGTGTGTCAGAAGGCTGAACAATAACCTGTAGAATAAATAAAGTCTGTGGCGGATTAGTAATCGGGAGAAATGGGAGATTTTCCGGTGGCCTGGCCGTTAAACTGGCCCGCTCAGTGATTGCCGGTCATGACATGCATAATATCTAAATGAACAATCCTAATGCAGCTCATCAGGGCATCTGCTGTCCTGATGCTCACACAAATGGAGCTAACTGGGCACAAAGACACCCCTTCCCCTCACTTTGTCAGGGTCTGGCAAAGCGCTGCAGACACTCCCAACCCCAGAGCAGCACCACTGCACCTTTGGCCCAGAGGCAAAATGGACCTAGATGGGCCAGGAAAGGTGGAGCAGAAAAGGAGGGATTGAAAAGAAGAAAGCTCTGGCTATAGATGCACGTCCAGGCTGGCCTGTATGTGATCGTGTTGGGAGAACTGGTTTAAAATGCATAATTTGTAAAAAGGTAAAACAGAAACTCTGGGATACAATTTCAGGCTTCTAGTGATTGTAATGAGTCATGACCATCAACTGAGATTATAGGGATGATTCATTTGCTCAAAGCATGCTGAGACATGCAGTTGGTATGAAAACACGAATCCGTAAAAAATGTACTCTTTTCTTTTTTAGCTGCACAGTCTGCAATATTGAACAGAACCATCAGCAAATTATTGAAAAATCAGAAGCCAGATAAGAAGGTAAGCGTCACGCAGACCTCAACTCTTCCAATGTCTGTTTTCAGTTTCCTTTTTTTTTTTGTGAAAACACCAAAACACACAGTCCTGTTTTTTTTTTTGTTTTTTTTTTTTGTTTTTTTTTTTTTGTAGTATGATGGATACACCTCCTGTCCGTTGGTCACAAGCTACAACACGGTGGTTCTGGCAGAGTTTGATTACAACGGGCAGCCACTGGAAACGTTCCCAATCAACCAGGCCAAAGAAAGAAGATTAATGTACTACATGAAGGCTGATGTGATGCCTCATCTCTACTGGTACGGTCTTCTGAGGTACGTATACACTTTGTTTAAAATTAAAAATGAACTGATCCTGGTTTAGAGAGCTGATATTTGTGATTTTCATCTATAACACTAATTTTGATGTATTTTCCCTTTTTCAAATTGATAATTTACACACATATTAGGGAGTTTTTACTGTCAGATTTATCAATGATATGTTTGAGAACCCCCTCAAATCTGATTTGAGTTTTTTATTTGCCGATCAACTTAATACTGATTTTATCTGATCCTGAGACCTTTCATTTATTTGGTAGGGACGGTGCACATTAATGAACATCCTTTGATGTGTCCGTGCACGTAAATATGCTGGATTATTGCATGAATGCACATCCACAGGCCCATTTTCTTGTGCTTCTCTATTTAAAACGATTCAATACTTATTTGTTTTCCCATCAGCTTCTACATTATTGTTTATTTTTTTATCAGGGGTCTGTGGGGCGGACCAGGACCATACCGGAAACTCTTTCACCTTGGGATGAAATAAAACTTCATCACAAAATTTACAGAAAATAAAACTGTGACTAAAATTCATCATGTTTCTGAAAGGACGGACACACACACACACACACACACACGCATGCACGCACGCACGCACGCACACACACACACACACACACACACACCTCATAGATGTGGTCATCTACTACAAAGAGCTGCTTTTGATGTAACAAGGGGAATAAATCACTATGATGTTGGTCATTTCTGGACGCTAACAGGTAAAACTTCTGGCTCTTTTGTCGGCTTGTTCATTCTGATGTAGCTTTCAGTTTTTGCCAAAAACTCCAGGGGAAAACAAAGTTTATTCCATTTCTGACTTCTGGGTGTAAAAACATGTTACAATGATCCAGGTGTTCCCTGTAAACTGACACTTTATGAAGTTTATGAGTGCCATATATTTTATATTAAAATTATTGTAAAATAAAAAATGATGCATTCAGATTTAGTGTTGATTATAACTATTAAAACATTTTCCAACAGTTTTGAGGCTACTTTGACTATTAATGTAAAATGCCACAAGTGCTTTTTCTTTAATTTATATGTCCGTGCCCAACATCATGTTTCTACATAATTTTTTTTCTCTTCATACTAAACTGGGTTTATAAACATCTCAATGGTTCTAAGCCTGTGCTAAAATGCTTTTTAATGAACAGATTTGTTTACTCTTGAATCAATAAAAAGGTGAAAGTTTTATAAAACTTTTGTGGTTGCCTTATTTTTTTTTGCTGGATTTAATAAAAAAAATAAGGCATAATTTTAAAGCTTCATTGCACTTTTCATCAAAACATGCAGCTACAATATTAGATGGTATCTACATATATTTTAATATTACATTCAAAATGTGAAAACAATTCCTGTGCAGTACAGGTGCTGGCCAGTAAATTAGAATATCATCAAAAGGTTGAAAATATTTCAGTAATTCCATTCAAAACGTGAAACTTGTACATTATATTCATGCAATGCACACAGACCAATGTATTTCCAATGTTCATTACATTTAAATTTGATATTCATAAGTGACAACTAATGAAAACTCCAAATTTGGTATCTCAAAAAATTAGAATATTCTGAAAAGGCTGAATATAGAAGACACCTGCTGCCACTCTAATCAGCTGATTTACTCAAAACACCTGCAAAGGCCTTTAAAAGGTCCCTCAGTCTTGTTTTGAAGGCACCACAATCATGGGGAAGACTTCTGACTTAACAGCTGTCCAAAAGACAATCATTGACACCTTGCACAAGGAGGGCAAGACACAAAAGGTGATTGCTAAAGAAGCTGGCTGTTCGCAGAGCTCTGTGTCCAAGCACATTAACAGACAGGCGAAGGGATGGAAAAAATGTGGTAGAAAAAAGTGTACAAGCTCTAGGGATAACCGCACCCTGCAGAGAATTGTGACGACAAACCCATTCAAAAATGTGGGGGAGATCCACAAAGAGTGGACTGCAGCTGGAGTCAGCGCTTCAAGAACCACCACGAGGAGACTCATGAAAGACATGGGATTCAGGTGTCGCATTCCGTGTGTCAAGCCACTCTTGAACATGAAACAGCGCAAGAAGCGTCTCGCCTGGGCCAAGGACAAAAAGGACTGGACTGATGCTGAGTGGTCCAAAGTTATGTTTTCTGATGAAAGCAAGTTCTGCATTTCCTTTGGAAATCAAGGACCCAGAGTCTGGAGGAAGAGCGGAGAAGCACAGAATCCACGTTGCATGAGGTCCAGTGTAAAGTTTCCACCGTCAGTGATGGTGTGGGGTGCCATGTCATCTGCCGGTGTTGGCCCACTCTGTTTCCTGAGGTCCAGGGTCAATGCAGCCGTCTATCAGGAAGTTTTAGAGCACTTCATGCTTCCTGCTGCTGACCAACTTTATGGGGATGCAGACTTCACCTTTCAACAGGACTTGGCACCTGCACACAGTGCCAAAACCACCAGCACCTGGTTCAAGGACCATGGTATCCCTGTCCTTGATTGGCCAGCAAACTCGCCTGACCTTAACCCCATAGAAAATCTATGGGGTATTGTGAAGCGGAGGATGCAATACGCTAGACCCAACAATGCAGAGGAGCTGAAGACGACTATCAGAGCAACCTGGGCTCTCATAACACCTGAGCAGTGCCACAGACTGATCGAGTCCATGCCACGCCACATTACTGCAGTTATTGAGGCAAAAGGAGCCCCGACTAAGTATTGAGTGCTATACATGCACATTCTTTTCATGTTCATTCTTTTCAGTTGGCCAACATTAGAGAAACAAACATTTTTTCATTGGCCTTTAGAATATTCTAATTTTCTGAGATACCAGATTTGATGTTTCATTGGTTGTCACCTATAAATATCAAAATTAAACGTAATAAACATCGGAAATACATTGGTCTGTGTGCATTGCATGAATATAATGTACAAGTTTCACGTTTTGAATGGAATTACTGAAATATTTTCAACCTTTTGATGATATTCTAATTTACTGGCCAGCACCTGTATAATGTTTTGCTGCTTTACAAAGTTTTTAGGTGCAAATATTAGTTTTAAGGGATGATGATGATGGATTTTGATTTTTGTACAGCTATCAAGACCGGGTTGGCTCATTCTGATTTCTCAAAGATCTAACAGAATTTTTTACCATATTTTAAATTTCTTATCAACTTGAAAAATATGATTTTAGAAATAAATTAAACTTTTACGTGAGCTATTTTATTGCTAGCATGAATTTAAGTTAACCTTTGATTAATGATAAATGACCCGCACTTGTATAGTGCCTTTCAGAGTCAGAGGACTCCAAAGCGCATCACACAACTACAGTGCATCACTCATCCATTCAAACACACATTCACACCCTGATGGTGATGAGCTACAATGTAGCCACAGCACAGCTGCCCAGGGGCATATTGACGGAGGTGAGTTTGTGGAGCTGTAAACCCATGAGAAAATAGCTGCTTATTAATCGTGCATCTACACCAAAAATAAAACCAAGTTTCAACTACGTTTGTCAAACAAAGCTTTTTTTGATACGATCTTGTTAAGTGTGGTCAGATTTTTTTAAAATTCAATTTATACACTTCAAAATCACTAAAAGGAAATCAGTGCTTGTATAAACATGTGACATGCTAATTGAGTTAATGTTGAATGAGTAAAAGTTACTATTTATTGGTTGGATCAAGAATTTTTATAAAATTTGTTCAGCAGGGCAAATTCCAAGAAATGAATGTTAATTTATAAAATAATTTTATTTATTATTTGTGTTGGTTAGTTGAAAATTCGTCCAGGGAAGTTTAGGTACATATGATATTTCCCGTTTAGAATGTATAAACGTGATCAAATGTGGCCCATGTTTATTTGGAGAGTTCCTGTCATGGTTTCTGCAGTCGAGCAGGGACAGGTTCCGCGCCTCCGCCACGTTATTTCCTCTACGTCACTGTACGTCTCTCTACGTCCGTGTCGCATTCTCCTGCGCAGCGCCAACGCTCTGTTTGTGATGAGGCGGGAAATGGCGTCCGAAAACTCGGTTGGTCTGTGACTAGCCGCCTGAGCGACGGACACGGTAGGCGGCAACAAACACGGCTCGACTTCTGTCGGTGGCCGCCACGGTCGCGGCCGACGCTGACAACGCTTCGGCTGGTTTTAATGAGCTTCCGTTGTTATCGGTAAGCAACAAACAACATGTAAACAAAAATATTTGTCCTCGTGAAAGTCTTGACTGTTGCTAGCTTAGCGGCTAACGTTAGTCAGCGAAGGGGGCGTAGTCTAATGGCTGAGCATAGTAACAGCGAACAAAACGACCTGTTTATATATATGCATTACTGTACACGTATATTAACACATTCTACACACACACACATTAAAGAGGACTAACGTAACGCACTGTGGTTAGCGAGGCTATTAACGTTAATGTATTTCTTTGACTACCGTTGATGTTTTGTTAGCCTCAAAGCTAACTGTAACCTGTTAGTCACAGATTGCACCGACAGCATGTAGCTTGTTAGCATCATTAAGACATTCACCCAGATGATGAGTGTCACCAGTCTCTATGAACGTGTAATGCATTACCAAACGTAAGTCATCAGCGTACACCCGGTGCTCGGCGAACAGCGGGCTGTCGCTGCTTTGTGGCTAATAACGCTGACTGAACGCAGCCTGTTTGATGTTACATAACGACAGTCCGCGGTTCCGTTTGATGTCAGATCGAATTTAGCAACAATCGACTAGACACAAGCCACTAACGTACCTACTAGTCATCAATAAAACTTGAACAAATCGATGAAAGGCCTTAAATTTGCAAATATCTTTTTTTTGTAATACATTACACCTAGTACACAAACGCACATCTTAAAAACATTTTCTGAATCAGGATTAACTTTTGGTTTTAATCACTTCCTTCTACATGTGTAGACATTATTTTATGTTAGAAGTGTGTTATTTGTACTGCTTCTGTCATTTTTTTCAGCTATTTCTTAAATGTGTCTAATTCAGTTTGTCCTGCTGTAAAGTGAGATCATCATAGCTTTTGAATCTCTTGAACATTATAAATGTACATGTATCACTAGCAAAATATTAAAACAATATTATTGAGTTGGTATATTTTCAAAAGTAAAACAGTTTAGGCATAAGAAATTGTTTGCATGTAATTGCAGTGAAATAAAAATGTTATTTGATTAATCTGGATATTAATCGTCGTTTGTTTCAGTGCATGTCCTTTATTCAGTGTCACAAAACAAAACCTTCATCCAAAGTCACGTTTTTCTTTTTCTCGCTGTTTTTGTCGCCCTCATCAGATTTTTCTATGTGACGTTGGAGCATGATGAGGCTGAGAGTGCGTAAAGCTCCTCAGCAGCTGAACCGAGGCCACCGAACGCATCCGTCCCAGGCCAAACGGAAACATTGCGACGTGAAGCCGTCACCAGTGAGGGGTCGAGGCAAGATGCAGAAGAACGAAACAGGCCTGTTCTCTACTATAAAGAAATTTATTCGAGGAAATGCTGTTAAGGTGGGAACAGATTTCCAAATGTTTCTTTACAAATTTCTCTGATTTCCAAAAGAGTGTCTGCATAAAAGCTTTATTTTGTGCTTGTTTAGATTGTTTTAGTCTCAACTAGTGCAAATGGAAACGCATAGTTGCAACATTAAATTATCCCACTGATTATAAACTGGAGTTAATTAGTATTTGCCTTGATCAAAGTCTGTTAACAAGGCTGAGGGTTTGTTTAGAGGACTGAAAACTTGCTGTGAAGATGGACTTTTTAAATTATTATCATGTTTCAGGTGGAGCAGGAGATCCCAGCCAAGAGAAGTCGCACAGATTGTAATGCAAACAATGATCTCATTACTTCAACACCTCAGACCAGAGGTCTCTCCAACAAATCAGTCTCCAGAGTTGGCAGGAAAACTCAAAGTAAAGGTACCAAAGCACTTCTTTCACCTGGATTTCAGAAGACTCATGTCATCCTATGAACTTAGCTTTTCATACTGTTTTTGTGTTAAAAAAAATAGTCATGGTGCACATTGGGATATATTAAAACAAATGTTTGGAAGCAGTAAATTGAAATGTTAAACCTTTGAATGTATTTAAATTTACTGTTACTGTAGTTAAAAGAAGTTGTTTGTATTAAAATGTGTATTTGTTTGTTTTAAGACACGATGACCTGCAACAATATACCCCTGAAACCAAATGGTAAACTAGAGGCCCCAGTCGACACGTCCAGCAGCCCGCCACGTACAACGCTACTCGGGACCATCTTCTCCCCGGTCTTCAACTTTTTCTCACCAGCAACTAAAACTGGTGAGAAACAGTTATTTACCTTCAACTGTGGGATTCCATCAGACGTGGGCCACACGTGGTTTCCTGCTGTCACTTTGCAAACTTTAGAGAGTCAAGGACAAACTTTGTTGATGGTGCAACACATTTCCAGTCACGTTAGTATTACAGGCACACAGGTGTGATGTGGGTCTTCGCTGAAGTTTCACTCATCTGTTTTTCACCTGCTGCCTGAATCCTCGTCAGTAGTTGGTAGAATCTTCTGTCTGTCACTTTTGTCATTTTGAAGCTTTCTAAATTGAATCAAGTTCAACTTGCTTCCTATCAACTGTTTATAATTTTTTTTCCACATCCATTTCTGCCAAAAGTTAAAAATTATTTATATTCAGAAAAAAAAACTTTCTTTAAGCCACCCCAGGCTCTGATTCTCCGGGACAAGCAGTAGAAGCTGAGGAAATCATGAAGCAGCTGGACATAGAACAGGCTGAGGAAATGCCCAGCAGCACTTTCACATCCAGAGAAGGAATCACTCCGTGTCACACCATCCCCATCCTACCACAGAGGCTTCAGATCTCCTCAGAAACAACAATAGAAGGAGAGATTGTCACTGAAACTGACATACCCCCACTAACAGGTAGGACCTCCCTCTCGTAAAAGCCTCGGCTTCAAAATGAAGCAGCTACAAAAGTTGTCACCAGTGTTTTTGTTTTTGCCTTTTTTTTAGGCTCATAGACCTAAAAGTTTACACGTAGCTTGTTAATTACAACATAACACCACCCTGTTAATGCTAAAGCTTCAGTTTTACCCAATCAGCTTCACACAGCACTGAAGCTAAATTGGCTCTATATTTGGTAGTAAAATTGATATAATTGAAAGTATGAGCTGCTTATTTCTCTTTTCCTGGCTTCATGTCTCTCTCAGCTCCTGGGTGTATGCCAGACGGCAGCTACCCCCACCCGCTCCCCTCAGCACCTGCTGAAACCTCGTATGATGAGGAATGGGAAGTTTTTGACCCGTAAGCACATCAGAACACTTTTTGATATTCTTGTGAAACAAACGTTATAAGTCTATACAGAATGTCTGCTTTTAGTTTCTATATTAAACTCTATGTTGAGATTATGGATACAAGCACATGTTTAGGATGACAGTTTATAATCTGTAACTTTTAGCCACTAGATGGCAACAAAGAGCAACAACTGTTCCATCAGAGATGGTAAAATAGTTTAATTAAAGTCAGTTTAAGCGTGGCTGATTTTAATCACCTTATTTGACTGAATACCATTACATCATAAGACTTCTCATCTTCTAGATACTTCTTCATCAAGCACGTGCCTCCGCTGACAGAAGAACAGTTAACACGGAAACCAGCGTTACCTTTGAAAACACGCAGCACGCCCGAGTTCTCCCTGGTCCTAGATCTGGTAAGCAGCCAAAGGTTTAATGGAGATTCATTACCTGTTAGATAGAGCTGTAGCAAAGCGTTGATGACGTCGACAGCGCGATTCTAAAAATTCGTCTACGTCAGATCCGGTAGTCGACACACCACGCCCACTTGTTGCATCCCCAGGAGTTTGTAAATAGAGGAGGAATCTGCAAGTTTTTCCTCCTCTAGTTCGCCCTCTTCTCCGCCTTCACTAACATCTCCGCCAAATACAGAAGACCCGGAACAATGTCCGTCGGCTACTAGATTCCTTTCCTGTTTTGCCCACCTTGGTCTCCCGGCAACGGACAACAACTTCCGGGGTCAGATGCGCTGCTTCGTCTCTACCGCAGATGTAGAAAATCACCGGGAGCGTTTCTCCCTTCATAAAGGAGCTTCTTTCAGACATTAGGAGAGCTGTTTTTATGGTAGCAGTCTCTCCTCCATGCTGGTCTGTTTGCTGCTGGGTATTTTTGGTTTATTTAAACTTGGTAACTTGAACTTAACGTTGGTAAAGCTACTGTTAGCATTTTCGCTAACAGCTTCTTGTGTTTGGATACGCTGTTACGTTTTGGTTTAGAGTTTATCTTTTTTGTGGTACAGATCTCCCTTTTATTACATTTAGAGTGGTGTGGGTTTTCGGTTTAGTTTAAAATATCACCTTGAGTTTGGTTTAACCGCCCAGTTTAGAGTTTGGACCTTTGGAGATTCTTATTTTGGTCCAGAACCCAGTAATCTTTGCCCAGTGGGACATCCCTAGTTATTTGTACTTTTATTTTAATTCCCCACAGACAGAATTAGTTTTATAATTCCCAACCTGTGGATGGAAAGATTTATGATTTTTGTAGTTGTAAATAAACCTGATCATCATTTTAACTTTTAAATCCCGTTATTGTCCCTTCCTTTTTGCACACGAGCCAAACTCCCCAAGAAGAGTCGTAACACCACTCGCCTCACGCACATAAGTGACCAAAACAAAGCAGTATGGAGACACTCCGTCTCCAACCACCTCTCAGGCAGCAGCCTGCACTCCCAAGTTCTACACGTCACCAGAACGTAACCAACCGCTACACAATAAAAGCAGTATTCTATAAAATGGAAGGCCTGTAGTGTTTGTTCTCTTACAGTAACAATTTATCAATTTTTTTTGAGGAATTTATTTGAGATTTTCTTGTTTTCATTAATTGTGCAATAAGAAAATAATCGCTAGATTAATTATCTAAACAATCATTAGAATAGTCGACTATTCGATAAAATAATCGTCAGACTAATCGTTTTAAAAATAATCGTTTACCCTGCTCTTAGAAAAACATTGATTTGTTTATTTTGTTTTCATTATGCTGCCAGGATGAAACTCTGGTTCACTGCAGTCTGAATGAATTAGATGATGCAGCCCTGACATTCCCAGTCCTCTTCCAGGATGTAATATACCAGGTAAGACCTATACATTGCTCAAAGAAAATAAAGGGGACACAAAATAAGATATCCTAGATCTGAATGAATGAAATCTTATTAAATACTTTGTTCTTTAACACTAATATTATCAATGAAAATTAAATGTATCAACCCACGGAGGTCTGGATTTGCAGTCACTCTCAAAATTAAAGTGGACAATCACAACAGGCTGATCTAACTCTGATGGAATGCTCTTAAAACAAGTAAAAATGAGGCTCAGTAGTGTGTGTGGGCTCCACGTGTCTGTATGACCTCCCTACAACGCCTGAGCATGCTCCTGATGAGGTGGCAGATGGTCTCCTGAGGGATCTCCTCCCAGACCTAGACTACAGCATGCACCAACTCCTGGACAGTCTGTGGTGCAACGTGGTGTTGGTGGATGGAGTGAGACATGGAGTCTCAGATCTGCTCAATTGGATTCAGGTCTGGGGAACGGACGGGCCAGTCCATGGCACCAATGTCTCGTCTTGCAGGAACTGCTGACACAGTCCAGCCACATGAGGTCATTGTCTTGCATTAGAAGGAACCCAGGGCCAACCACACCAGGATATGGTCTCACAAGTGGTCTGAGGATCTCATCTTTGCACTTAATAGCAACCAGGCTACCTGTGGTGGGCTCATGGAGGGTTGTGCAGCCCCCCACAGAAATGCCACTCCACACCATTACTGACACACTGCCAAATCGGTCATGCTGGAAGATGTTGTAGGTAGCAGAATGTTCTCCACGGTGTCTCCAGACTGTCCCATGTGCTCACCGTGAACCTGCTTTAATCTGTGAAGAGCACGATGCACCAGTGGCAAATTGGTGTTCTCTGGCAAATGCCAAACGTCCTGCATGGTGTTGCAGGGCTCTGGCAATGCTCCTCCTGTTCTCCCTTGCATAAAGACGGAGGTAGTGGTCCTGCTGCTGGGTTGTTGACCTCCACCGTTGTCTCCTGATGTACTGGCCTGTCTCCTGGTAGCACCTCTGTGCTCTGGACACTACGCTGGCAGACACAACAAACCTTGTTGCCACAGCTCACATTGATGTGCCATCCTGGATGAGCTGCAACACCTGAGCCACTTGTGTGGGTTGTAGACTCCGTCTGATGCTACCACTTAGTGAAAGCACCACCAGCATTCAAAAGTGACCAAAACATCAGCTAGAAAGCAAAGGAACTGAGGAGTAGTCTGTGGTCACTGCCTGCAGAACCACTCCTTTATTGGATGTCTTGCTAATTTTCTATAATTACCCACCTGTTGTCTTTCCCATTTGCACAACAGCAGGTGAAACTGGTTAATCCATGTTGCTTCCTAAGTGGACAGTTTGATTTCACAGAAGCATGACTGACTTGGAGTTACATTGTGTTGTTTAAAGAGGGACTGCACACCATCAGAAAATGTAACTCCACCCCTAGTCAAGATTTGAAAAATGCTATGAAAGTGGGCGTTGCCAGGAGGCACAGAGTGGCATGGCCAAGTGTGGGGAATTTCCATCCTGGGAGGGAGGGGGAGTGGGAGGAGACTGTACCGATGATGTGAAATTGTACCAGCCCCAGTCAATCACAACTTCAAAATGCAGTAGCTGCTGTTCTGCCACAGGGGGCAGCACTAAGACGTTTTTAGACCTAGATTTAGATTTAATCAAGTTTACACAAACATGTCGAAAAATGCACAGAAACAGAAAGATTGCATTTGTAAAGACCCAATTATACAGTTAATTAGCAAAAAAAATATATTTTTAGGTTTAGTTACTCTTTAAGTGTTCCCTTTATTTTTTGAGCAGTGTATATACGTCTTATTTTCTTTTATTACAGCTGTGATGAAACTTCTGTTTTGTTTATGTAATCTTGAAGGTTTACGTTCGGTTGAGGCCCTTTTTTCGAGAGTTTCTTGAGCGCATGTCTCAGTTGTACGAGGTGAGATTTATTACGCAGACTGCTTACTGTACCTGTTTAATCTTTCCAGCCGACACAATGTAAATTATTAATTTATTGCTATGTATTAACATTTCAGATTATTCTCTTCACGGCTTCAAAGAAGGTCTATGCTGATAAGTTGCTCAACATCTTGGATCCGAAAAAACAATTAGTAAGGTGAGTGAAAGCGTTAAACTCGAGACAGATTTCTGATATCTAGCTTTCATCTGTGACTAATTCTCATATTGTTTTTATTTTTAGACACAGACTATTTCGAGAACATTGTGTTTGTGTTCAAGGGAATTATATTAAAGACCTGAACATTCTTGGGCGGGATCTTTCGAAGACTGTAATAATTGATAACTCACCCCAAGCCTTCGCTTATCAGGTAAAATTCTAATGAGAAACTGGGACAATAAAAAAGCATTCCTCAGTCACAGCTGACGTGGATTTGATCTTTTCTAGCTTTCTAATGGAATCCCCATCGAGAGCTGGTTTGTGGATAGAAACGACAACGAGCTTCTAAAGCTTGTTCCCTTTCTGGAGAAGCTTGTGGAGCTGGTACGTCACACCCAAAAGCATTCAGTCTGTTCTTTAACAAAAAGCCCTATGCATATCAGTGTATTAGTAACCATGGTGACAAGATATTTAGGTCATTCTAATCAGTAGGGGTGGGTGCAATTAATCGATGTGGCGATGCATCTAAAAGCTTAACATGCTGTTTCGGCATCGATGAATGAACGTCGATGCTTAAAAAAACATAACATCAAAGTTTTGTTGTGAATCCGGTACTAAAAAAATTAAAACACGTAACCAGAGACTTAACACGCGCGCCGCCCGGACTGTTTAATGAGTGGCACTACCTCTTTGACCTCTTTCTCCATTTTGGAGACTGTCTCCAAACTACCGAAGAACTCTGAGAAGGCGAGGAGCATTACAAAAGCAATAGCTACTTTTATGGCGACGGATCTACGCCCGTATTCAGTAGTAAACAACAGGGGGTTTCGGTTAGTGGTGCGCACCATGGAGCCGCGCTATAAACTCCCTCACCGAAAACACTTCGCAGAAGTCCCCCACCTCTACGAGGAAACCAAAGCAAGCGTTCTGGAGTCCATGAAGAAGGCAACCGAGATAGCGCTCACATGCGATGCATGGACGTCGGTTGCCACCAAATCCTTTGTTACTGTAATGGCGCGTTTTGTTCTCGCGTCGGACAAGAACGGGTGGAAGTTGGTGAGTCACGTTCTTCAAACTCGAGAGATGAGTGAGAGACTAAGTAGCACAATGTTGACATTTGCCCACCTCACACAACAGGAGGATGTAGGGGGACAAGAGGGAGGGGAGGGAGTATGAGTGTCACGCTGCTCTTTTTTGTTGTGTTCGCCTCACTGCACTGAAGCTCCAGGCTGAATATATGTTCAGTTGAATTATGCACTTTTGTGCTGAAAAAAAATGCAACATATTACCTTCAAATATAGCAAGTTTTTTTCTGTTACCTATATTCCAGACTGAATAAGCTGAATTTATTTATTTGATCTGTATGGCAGCTTTTTTGTAATGTTATCATATGGCCAGACTCATAAGTTTCCATTAAATAAATTTGATGGAAGTAAAAATCTTGTTTACTTGAATTAATTATCTCATTAAATCCAGGGCTTGCCTGTTTTCAGTGTTTCCCAACAATGGAGGGGAGACTAGTGTAAGTAAAGCTTTCCCTGGTCGAAGTTAAGTTGGTCAAAGTGCAAATATTTACACGTCATTCAGTCATAAAATAAGAATTTGTCTTTGAAAAATGATTAAATGTTAAAAAAATGTATTTACATACAGAGAATAGTTTTAGAGGAACTGAATTAATTGATAGGATTTTTATTTACAAATGTAGATAAAGAAGAAGACAATCTTGTATGAAAAAAACATAAAAAATGTCAATCGAAGAATCGTGGCACCAGTAATCGTATCGAACCAAAAAATCATTATAATCGAAGCTCCCATAATCAAATCGAATCATGAAATACCCTTTTTGGAACACCCGTACTAATCAGATGTTTTGAGACTAGATAGACTGAATTGTCTTTCATGGTTGAGCTATAGAAGTATCTGGGTTCAACGGAACATCAGTTTGCATTTGTATCAATCTGAATTTTGCTAATAGTCATATCAGAAGCGCTTCAAACTGCATGAATGGCTGCTTCATAACTGCATGCAGAAGTTTGTTTTGTTTCTAATTAGCTGTGTGGAAAAATTTTCCATTTAATCATCTAAAGCAGTGAGGAGCAGCATGCTGCAGTAGATCATGTAATTTACACCTACGGCTGGCCATTCTGTTCTGTCTGCTCTCCACCTACCGATAGCAACCAATGAAATTAAATGTTTTGTCATAAAAATGAATAAATTTAATCACTTCTGAAAATTACAATCCTTGTAAAAACTCGTCCAGTCACAGTGTTGGTTTCACTTCTCAAAGATTAGATCATAACCCACCCATCAAACTGCTCCTCTGAACGTCCACGTAACGCGTTCTCAGCTTGGAGCAGCCAAACGGGAAGCTAGCTGAGCTGCCTACTGTCATGGATGGAATGTCTTTCTTTTTGCAGATCTGATTTAAGGAGTTTTTTTTTTACATGTTCTGTTTAGAGTCTGGTTCTGTTCAGGTTGGGAAACGTTTAGGTGACCAGGTTATTGTCTGGGCACGCAGCTAAGCTGCAGCTCTGTTGCATGTGAGAGAGTGTGCACATGTGCCACTGTGAGTACACAGAACAGTTTCATTCAGGTTCTGGAAGTTTCTATTTGCTAGTTTAGGGGTTTTACCAGATTGCTGTTGACACTGAGCTGCTGTGAAAGGAAGTTAAAGAGCAAGTCACCCCCAAATCAACTTTATTTTTTCTGATAAACTATATAAATGCATGTCTAATCGTGCTGCAGACACGTGTAGTCAATAGTTTAGCACTTTAATGCATTTTAGTTAAAATTTTAATTTTCTGCCTTAAACTGTCAGTGTTGTGCCGTTGTCGGGTAAAAACTCTGCACTGCACTGCATTTGAATTAAAATCTGCCATCGCTATTGGCTAAGAGGTACCCTAGAACGTTAGCTGGTACCATATGATGTCACAATGTCGTTGTGAGCCTTTGTGTGTGTGTGTGTATTTGTTAGCGGCTATGCCCTCTTGGTCTGCTAGGCAACAGCATTTGTTGCATTTTTCTAACAGGAAGTGGGAGTTGAGTAAGAATTTGGTAGGGGGTGACTTGCTCTTTGAGAATTTCTTCCTCATTTTTCACCATCAAAGTTCCACATGCTATATGCTAACATGCAAAATCAGATTCTGTGACTCTATGCGGGAGCCTGAAAACAGGAAGTCAGGCCTTTCCACATTTTTTTTCTCTTCCAAAATAAGATCATCCTGTGCACCTTTAAGTCTTTATCACATCAGCTTTTTTTAAATTTTAATTACATTTTCTGTTTGACACGGGTAACAGGTCAGTTACGACTCATGTTTCCTCCGTCCCACAGAACGGAGACGTCAGGCCGCACATCCGAGAACATTTTCGTTTGCATGACCTCCTGCCTCCAGACTGAAGAACTCTACTTCATCTTTCATTTCAAGATGGCAACAAGATGGATCAGTGGTTTTCCCTTTTCATACACAGCATTGCCCCTTTCTTTACTTTTTTTAATATCAAAAGCTATGTTTCTGTCAAAAGTCTTCGATGTCTTATTACTTTTTTCTATACCAACTAAACCACTTGGAACAACAAAACGGCCTTCTGGATGGTAGTTCAACCCTTTTGGATGAACAAAACTGAATGTCACGTGTTGGGTAATGCAGACCTTGGTGGTTTCAGCCTTGAGCGGCCAGTTAAATTTGTATATTCTCTCTATTTACCTGTAAATATATGTACATAATTGTTATTTTTCTTTAAGGTTTTTAAGTCGTTTTACTTCCGTTTAAAATGTTAGTATGTACTTTTAATTGGTTGCTTTTATAAACCCACAAAATGTTTTTTGTCATTCAAATTATTGATAAGCCGCAGTTTTTTGTTGTATGCCTGCAGTATTCCTGTGATGCTTTTCTTCATTACATGCAGTTGTCTGTAATAAGGTGCAGTTTTCAAACAAATGTTTCTCTGGGAGAGAAATTATTATGAAATATTTTAAAATTAAGACGTATAAGCTAGAATAAGGTCTCAAATGAATACAAAGCCATAATGGCCAAACAATAATTGTAGAGATTTGTATTTGGGTCCATTTCTGATTTTGACACTTTGATGGAGGTGGGGGGGTCAGGCATCTTGCACTTTGACATCTAGCCCTTTGTAAGTTGATATAAATTCTTGTCACTTTTCTACACAGGTGTCTATCACCTTAATTTGTTGTTTGAGGGGTGAATATAAAATTGTAGCACCAGCAAAATTGCCAACATGTCTGCTTTGAAACCTTGGTTTCCAAATCGTTGTGTCTGTTGAATCTTTGATGACGTAGGAGTCACAAGTTTTATTGACTATTGAATGATCACTCCTGGTGTATTCAGTGTTAACTCGATGGTTTCCTCCAAAATAAAAGAATTTTTATACGACTCTGGGTCTCTTAATGGCTTTGTTTTCAATTTTCTCTCAAAGCATAGGTTATTAGAAATACCAAAAAAAAAAAAAAAAAAGCCAAATTTGATGAAGAATTATCAATGAATGCATCACACACTGGTGAAATTACATCTGCATTTGACCCATACCTGTGAGGAGCGGTGAGCTGCAGCAGTGGCTGCGTTCAGGAACTATTTGGTGGTTTAACACCCCCCCACCCCCATCCAACCCCTTATAGCAGAGTGTCACGCTGGGAGGCATTGGGTCACATTTTTAAAGTCTTTGGTACAATGCAACTGGATTTGAACCCTGATCTCCCCGTCCTAGGGCAGGCACACCACTAGGTCACTGAGAAGGTAACACTTGCAAACAAAACCAGGGTAAAAAGTTAATTTAAAAATATGTTTTTAAATATAAATGTTTCTAAACCTTTTGAAACAGGTAGCTCGGTTGAAAGGCCAGACTGTTCGGATCATTTATGATTGTGCTCACATCCTGCCAGTTTTTGCTCACAGATACGACGCTTACGAGATCTCTCCATCAGATAACCTTCTCTGTGTTAGTCCTTTTGTTCTTTTGAGAAATGGGTCATTACCTGATTACAGGTGTGTGGTGAATTGCCTTGTTCTGGGGTCACGTGACTCCAAAACAAAGGGGGCCAGTCTTCTCATCACACTTATCTCGCTGCTCAGTTCAAAACAAATTCATGTTGATAGTGTGAAGATAAGACCAGGGGGTGATTACACACCCCCTTGCAGGCATCGATTGGTTGCTAGTGAAAGTCGTGTCTTATAAGTGATCCCACAGCTGGGTTAAGAATCACAGCAGCCTGATGTTAAAGATGTGGATTCTCCTGTTTTTGTGCGGCCCTTTGGGGTCATTGGGGTCAAAGGAGGTGATGAGTGGAGCCACTCGGCAGCTGCAGGTTCTCCACTGCCCGCCCTGTGAGCAAATACACTGCTCCTCCAGACGGGCCTTGAAGCTCCAGTGTAGAGGAGGTTTGACGACGGGCGTGTGCGGCTGCTGTCCCACGTGTGCCAGGCTGGAGGGGGAGACCTGTGGAGGGGCGTGGGACTACCTGGGGAAGTGTGACATTGGGCTGGTGTGTGTTTATCAGGAGTCGGAAACAGAAGCAGAGCAAAAAGGAATCTGCAAGGCTGGTAAGATAATAATTCTTAGCTCACCACACAATGTTATAGGCCTTGGATTATTTTCTAACACCATAATCTTAAAGGATATATATTGAATTTGGATTAAAATGATTTGGTAACATAATTTGGAAAGACTCAAAACAGTGATTCCTGATTGGAAAAGAGCCAGCATGGTAAATACTGTTTATGAGCTGCGAAGGACTGATAGTCTCTTCAAGGTTTCCTTTGATCCAAAGGTTTCTGCTCACATAATTATCCTGCTTATCTGGCCTTGATGAAATGAGTTGTCACCTTTAGCGATACGGGACCGCACATCCTATGATGAGAGGTGAATGTCATGTCTTGTTGCTGCTCAGATCATGTAAAAAGAGTTGTGAACTTTGTGTGCAGTGGTTGAACATGTAGATCCAGACAGCTGTAATCCAGAGTGCACTAGGGATTACTGTCATGCCAACCCCTCTGCAATCTGCTCTGCCAGGTGACTAAATTTACTCCCAGCACCACAGATTATTGCAATTTTAAAGCAGAAATGTGACGTTCTTGTTTTTCCTCACAGGTCTGTATCTCTGGAGAATACAGCATGCCAGGGCTGCTGTCAGCACACCTCATGCTCAAGCTGTCTCACACTGAGACGTCCTCCGTGTCATCACACCTGTGCCCCATCTGATTCCACCTGTCTGCAACACTTTGGGAGGTGTGTGCACAATCATGTGAGAGAGAGTTCAGACTGGCTCTGCAACAGCAACATGCAGGTAGCAAACATGCATCTTTTTAAAAGATCAACATCTTGTATCCTCTGTTTTCATCTTTTTAGTAAACCACATGCTGCTTTGTTTTCTGTAGAGTAACAATGAGGGGAGTTTCGTTTGTTTGGTTCCTCTTCAGTCGAGCTCAAGCAAGTAATCCCTCATGGAATGAGAAGAAAACTTCACAAGCCCAGAAGTAAAAGTGGGGAAAGGCAGCTCATAGGTCAAAGGGGGTTATTTGAAGGGATTTTTAATAAAATAAACTATGTACTGTTTAATTTTACAATGCAAATCAAACTTTTGTAATTGTATGAAAAATAAAACTTGCAGAAAACTTTTTATTTTAAATTGTGTTTTAAATTTTGTGTTTAAAAAGTGAACTTCAGTTTGCAATTTTAATAATAAATTTCTCAGTGATCAACCAATAACTGTTATTTTATTCAGTCTGAATTTATAGTAATTCATGTGACATCATGCATCAAGGGGACCCTTTGCACATGACGCTATGTCGCTCATGGGACCACCCCCTTAACCATTGCGGATGGTAGAAAGACTGTTTACACATGTTGAGACTCCATTGAAGCTAGTTTGTAACCTTTGATCACATTTATTTAGTTAATTTCACAGTAAAACAGTAATAGTTTGCTGCACTAACAGAAAATGATATAAACTCAAATAGTCCTTTTTAAATTAACTTTGATGGAAAGAGAAAAAGGGAATGAACTGTAGCAATCATCCATCCATCGTCTGAACCCACTTTGTCCACGCGCATGCAGGGAGAACATGCAAACACCATGCAGAAAGATCCCAGGCCAGGAAGCAAACCCAGGACCTTCTTGCTACAAGGCAACAGCTCTGGCAACTGCGCAGCCCCCTGTAGCAATCAATCAAACGGAAAGCAGCTTTCAGATTTGCAGCAAAAATGTTTTGCCGAAGTGTGTTGAGGGTGATTTTCAGTTTTAGTCTATATAATTATTTTCAGACTCTACTGCAATGCCCTTCTAACTGGTCTTCCAGCCTGTACCGTGAGACCTCTTCAGATGGTCCAGAATCTGGTCTTCAATCAGCCTAAAAGAGCATATGTCACCCCTCTGCTCATTGAGCTCCATTGGCCACCGCTAGCTGCAAGCATCGTTCAAATTGCTAGCACTAGCACATCCTGGAAGGAACAGCTCCATAGCTCCCTATATATATATATATATATATATATATATATATGTGTGTGTGTGTGTGTGTGTTTTTAATGACTTGCATGACTGGTGAAAACATTTGCTGGTATAAATATACGAGCAGCTTATAAACTGAGTTGTGAAACTCTTTTGTTCTGCTGCAAGATGCTGATTTAGAACAGAAATTATATTTTCAAATAACAAAAAACAACAAAACACAAGGCAAGAAAATAAAGTACAATAATAATTCAATTAGATCAGAGGTATAACTGTATTTTGTCTGTTGTTTCTCATTCTGCTACTCTCTTGTAGATGATGTCACCGTAGTCCAGAATTGGTAGTATTGTCATTTTAACAAGGATGTGTTTGGCAGCGTGCGTGAAGGAGGTTTAGTTACAAAAAAGAAAAGCTAATTTTGCTTTGATTTTTGTTTGCAGATTGTTGATATGAGTGGTGAAAGATAAAGATGAATCCAGCCAGACGCCCAGATATTTGTAGGTTGTGACATAATCCAGAGCAGAGCCATCAGCACACCAGATCTTTGGGGGATTGAATGTTTGGTTTTTCCCTATCAAAGATGATGCATTTGGTCTTCTTGGCATTAAGGCAGAGATGAAGAGTGTGAAAGGACTGTTCAACAGAGGTGAGGCTGAGCTGAAGAGTTGAGGCTGCAGAGTTGAGAGAAGGGCCAACTGAGTACAGAATGATGTCATCAGCATGCAGGTAGATCTGAGAATTACCGGCAGTTTTAGCAACATCATTAATTTAGATAGAAATAGCATGTGTGGGTTTTCTGGTATTCTTTCACAGACAAAATAAAGCATATCAGGTTAATTTGAGACTAAAATTTTCCTGTGTGACTGTATCTGTGATGGACTACAGACTAGGGTGTCCCTCTCAGATAATGGATGAATTTTACCAGCATAAACAGTCTCAATCAAAAGACCGCTGGAAAAATGGTGTAATATATTTTGCTTGACTGGATCTCAACAAGGTTCCTAAATAATTCTGAGGGTTATGAAACAAAAAAGTCAAGTTGAAGACCCAAAAATAATTTCACCAGCACTGGAGGATCCTCAACCCAGCTCAAGGGCCTTACTGGTGCCAACTGCAGCCCTGTAACCATCAGACGACATCTGAGACTGAAGGGCTTAAAAAATGTCTTCAAAGACCTTGTTTCCTTGAACACCACAGAACTGACAGAGCACCAATCAGACAGTGAAGGGTGGAAGAAAGTTTTATTTTCTGATAAGGGGGTCCTGATTGCTTCCAACATTACAGGCATAAGCTGATCCCACCTGAGATGTTATCTTTGTACTGCAGTAGAGGGGGCGCCATAATGGTCTGGGGTGCTTTTTCTCTCAGTGGAACAAAGGAGCTTCATGAGGTGCAGGGGTGTCACAGCCTGGCTGCCTATGTCCGGATGTTACAGAGCATCCCTCACGGCTGAGAGCTCCCATCCATGTGGTAACCACTGGGTTTTCCACCAGGCCAGGCGCTACAGAAAACAGTGCTCACAGGACAAGGGTCTTCTTTAAGGAAAATAACATATCTCTTTTTGACCTTCCTGCATGTTCCTAACTGAGCACTTTGCTCTCAGACTGCAGGTCTACTGGTGGTTCCCAGAATATCTAAAATTAGGATGGGAGGCAGATCTTTTAGTTATCAGGCTCCTCTTCTGTGGAACCAGCTCCCAGCTTTAGTCCGTGAGGCAGACACTTTGTTTACTTTTAAGAACAGGCTTAAAACATTTTTATTTGATAGGGCCTATGGTTAAAATCTGATGTTAGCCTAAATCTGGACAAGTGGGGGAGTAGAGGGAGGTGGAGTGTACAGTCGGTAAAGACAGCTCTCCCTCGCCCTGACTCCAACATGCCTCCATCTAAATAGGATAGATTATCCAGAGTTATCTCTGTGGTTATGCTGCTATATGCTTAGACTGCTGGAGGACACACTGACCACTTTTCACACTCTACTGCTTTCTTCTACAATCTGCTCTTTAACTGTACTATTTTCTGCAATTTCAGCTGTTAACTTTATTTTCTCTGTAAGTGTTTTTCTCCCCAGAAGAAGCTACAATGACGTTCTACTGAGCTGTGGTGGCCTCATGGAGGGGGCCATCGACTAGCACACTGCTGCTAACCACTAAAACATTCTCCCTCTCCTGATAATAACTTTTTGCTTTCCTTGACGTTGGATGTGCTACTACTAGTTTTTCCATTTAATTATAGATCCACTAGGATAAATACAATAAAGTTTATCTCTCACCAAACAGACACATTACTTGTCTTTGTGTGTGTGCGTGTGTGTGTGTGTGTGTGCTTGCTCTGTCTTCTCGATCCCCAGTGAGTCGTGGAGGATGGCTGCTTATACTGAGCCAGGATTCTCTGGAGGTTTCTTCCTGTTAAAAGGGAGTTTTCCTCTCCACTGTCGCTTTATGCTTGCTTAGTATGAGGATTGCTGTATAGTCACTGACACTAGTCAGTGACTTGATGCAATTTGCTGGGTTCCTTATATAGGAAACATTATTTCTGATTGGCTTAATGAACTGTGAATTGGAATGTTTATTATGTGAAGTGCCTTGAGACGACTCTTGTCGTGATTTGGCGCTATATAAATAAACTTGAATTGAATTCCCCTGCTCTTAATTCAGTTGAAAACCTTTTTTTTTGGGGGGGGGGGGGGGGGGGGGGGGGGGTGAATGCCAAGGGAACTTTACAAAAATGGACAACAGTTCCAGGCAGCAGATGCCCTTCATGCTGCTGTCTTCATCACTTGGGAGTAATTATCCCACTCACCTCATGGAAACGATTGCATCAAGCATCTATACATCCATCCATTTTCATCTGCTTAGCTGGGGTCGGGTCACAGGGGCAGCAGCCTAAGCAGGGAGGCCCAGACTTCCCTTTCCCAGTCACTTGAGCCAGCTCCTAAAGGGAATCGTAAGTAATTGATTCCCTGGTCAGCTGAGAAACAGCCCCTTTATTGTGTTCTGGGTCTTCCCCCGGTTGGATGTGACAGGGAAACCTCACCAGGGAGACGTCCTACCAAATGCAGGAGCCACCTCAACTGCAACACATTTTTAAAGTGACCAGAAGCAACATTAAAGCTGCTCATTACTGAGTTTCAGTTTTTTGGGAGGTGAGGGTGCTTTTGTTCATTTGAGGTTTGGTCTTAAAACTTTTGATCAGCAGTAAAACTGTTTGGTCTTACTCTCATTGCTTGTTGTTGCCATTTTTCAAGTGGTCTTAAACTTTTGATGGGAACAGTATGACATCCAGTTTTCCATTATACGACATCACTTTAGCTTCTGTGGATTTGTATAATTTTATCAGGTGTCCGTCAGGACGGCAGGGCTTGCCATCAAAGAGTGCCGTCTTTGTTAACAGTCTTCTATCCATCTAACTTTTCTTCACTGATAACAGAGAACTGTGTGTGTGCCAGCAGTAATAAACATGCCCCTGTCTGAGTTTGCACCTGTTCATACCTCTAAAGGCAACAGAAAACACCTCAGAGACAGAGCCACCTCACACTAAAAATTTAAACAGTTTACTGGTGTCAGTTCCTTTATTTCTTAAAGCAAATATGAAGACTTTTCTTTTGATAAAGTTTGAATATATTTATTTTACTGCAGTAAAGATACAAAAGATTATCCACCTAAAACTGAGGTGGTATTTGTGGTAGTTTTCAAACAGATACGGAGACGCCTGGGAGCATCCCGCCTCACACTTCAGCAAGATTGTTGTGATTCATTGTTGGTTAGTAGAAATAAAGACTAAAACCACACAACAGCATGAAATTGTCCCCCAGAACTTTACTAAACCACCCAAATTACACAATAAAGACTGAAATTTTACTTAAAATACACAGTGGCCTTCTTACCTCAACAAAACCAAATCCTCAAGAGTTGCTGCTAATAAAGATATATAAGAATGAATGTCTATATATAAATTTATTGGAACAAAAATAGAACTATAGTCAGAAGAAACTGTATTAAAGGTGTATAAAACTCAGTCTTTGCACAGACCTCCAATCTGGTCTGATCAGAAAGGCACTGCAGATAATAAACATCTCAAGTCTTCTCATCACTTGAACAGTCTGTTCCAGAAGGAGATGAAGGGGGTGGAGTTAAAGGCCCCAATGAATATGAGGAGCAGAAGATAGAGACTCATCATGATGGCAAAATGGTGTCTTAGGAGCCACGACCTGCTGCGGGAATTCCTGGTGAAAGAAAAGAATAAATAACAAAATTAATAACCTTTATAGGCCACTTTGACTCTTTATGATTAGATTTTAAATACAAATGTACTTGATAACTTTTAGTAAGGCAGCCAAAAACAAGTTAAAATATTTATTGTCCAAGGAACTATGGAGAATAACAATGATCTGAAGGCTTCTTTAACTCATTCACTGCCAATGATGATTAAAGTCGTCATTTGCATTTTTTACTGTGTGGGCGTCGGAACGAGCCCCCGCAACCTGAGTGAAGTTGGCCCCCCCCCCACCTTCTTCAAATCCAACAAAAGTGGTATCAAACCATTGTGCTACGTTTGTGCTGGTTTGTGCTGCAAAAATTTTTGTTTGTGCTACTATCGTTTTCAAGATATTAATAAAACTTTCTGGAGGTCATCAGAGGTCAACCAGCCCCCCCACATAAATGGAATCAAACAAAACTGGTGTCAATCAACTGTTCTACGTTTGTGCTGGTTTGTGCTGCTAAAATTGTCGTTTGTGCTGCTTCTGTCTTGAAGATATTAATGAAAATATAAAGGTCAAAAGGTCAACCAGCCCCCCCACCTTCTTCAAATCCAACAAAAGTGGTATCAAACCATTGCGCTACGTTTGTGCTGGTTTGTGTGGCAAAAATTTTTGTTTGTGCTACTATCGTTTTCAAGATATTAATAAAACTTTCTGGAGGTCATCAGAGGTCAACCAGCCCCCCCACATTAATGGAATCAAACAAAACTGGTGTCAATCAACTGTTCTACGTTTGTGCTGGTTTGTGCTGCTTCTTTCTTGAAGATATTAATGAAAATGTAAAGGTCAAAAGGTCAAACAGCCCCCCCCCACCTTCTTCAAATCCAACAAAAGTGGTATCAAACCATTGTGCTACGTTTGTGCTGGTTTGTGCTGCAAAAATTTTCGTTTGTGCTGCTTTCATTTGGAAACCAAAAAAGTTTCTAAAGCTCAACCAGCCCCTTTCTTTAATGTTTAATTTTAAAGATATTAATAAAATTCCATCCATCCATCTATTCGCTTCCACTTATCCTTCTAAGGGTCACGTGTGGGCGCTGGAACCTATCCGAGCGGTCATAGGGCAAGAGGCAGGGTACATCCTGGACAGGTTGCCAGTCTGTCACAGGGCCAACACAAGGGACAGACATCCATTTACACTCGCAGCTATGGGCAATTTGGATTAACCAATTAACCTATCCCCACAAGCTGCATGTCTTTGGAGAGAACCCACGCAAACACGGGGAGAACATGAAAACTCCACACAGAAAGACCCTGTAACAGTGCTAACCACCGTGCTGCCGTAATAATAACATTAATTAACATTGATGAAGAAATGTAAAGGGGCATGCCAGTAGGTGCGTATCAGTTTATAACTAGATTTGTGGATCACTGACTACCATGTTTCTTAACATTACCTTACTCCATCTAGTGTGCTACCAGCAGGGTATATGGTAAAATGCTAACGATTGTTAAAACATTAACCTAATAATATGTGAACTGTAGCTTTTAAGTAAAATGCTAATATTAACAAAAGTGCTGTCATTTGGATGTGGGCTAACATGAGCAAGTTGTATAAAATTAACATACACAGGAGTGCACTTCAGTGACTACGTTTACATGCAGCCAATATCCGGGTTATGATCACGTTAAGGTCGGTATTCGGGTTTCTGAGTTGATCAGAATAACCCGTTTACAAGCCCGTTAACAATAAATAGAAAGAGTTCAATTCAATTCAATTCAAGTTTATTTATATAGCGCCAAATCACGACAAGAGCGTCTCAAGGCACTTCACATAATAAACATTCCAATTCACAGTTCATTAAGCCAATCAGAAATAATGTTTCCTATATAAGGAACCCAGCAAATTGCATCAAGTCACTGACTAGTGTCAGTGACTATACAGCAATCCTAATACTAAGCAAGCATGCAGCGACAGTGGAGAGGAAAACACCCTTTTAACAGGAAGAAACCTCCAGAGAATCCTGGCTCAGTATAAGCAGCCATCCTCCACGACTCACTGGGGATTGAGAAGACAGAGCGCACACACACACACACACACACACACACACACACACACACACACACACACACACACACACACACACACACACACACACACACACACACACACACACACACACACACACACACACACACACACACACACACACACACACACACACACACACAAGTAATGTGTCTACAGTTATATTATGATGTCTTAGTAAATATTCTATTTGGTGAAAGATAAACTTTATTGTATTTATCCTAGTGGATCTATAATTAAACAGATAAACTAGTTTTAGCACATCAAAAGTCAAGGAAACCAAAAAGTTATTATCAGGAGAGGGAGAATGTTTAAGTAGTTAGCAGCAGTGTGCTAGTCGATGGCCCCCTCCATGAGGCCACCACAGCTCAGCAGAACGTCATTGTAGCTTCTTCTTGGGAGAGAAACACTTACAGAGAAAATAAAGTTAACAGCTGAAATTGCACAAAATAGTACAAAGAGCAGACTGTAGAAGAAAGAAGTAGAGTGTGAGAAGTGGTCAGTGTATCCTCCAGCAGTCTAAGCCTATAGCAGCATAACTACAGAGATAACTCTGGATAATCTATCCTATTTAGATGTAGTCATGTTGGAGGCAGGGCAAGGGAGAGCCGTCTTTACCGACTGCACACTCCACCTCCCTCTACTACCCCACTTGTCCAGATTTAGGCTAACATCAGATTTTAACCATAGGCCCTATCAAATAAAAATGTTTTAAGCCTATTCTTAAATGTAGACAAAGTGTCTGCCTCACGGACTAAGGCTGGGAGCTGGTTCCACAGGAGAGGAGCCTGATAACTAAAAGATCTGCCTCCCATCCTAATTTTAGATATTCTTGGAATCACCAGTAGACCTGCAGTCTGAGAGCGAAGCGCTCGGTTAGGAACGTATGGAACAATTAGATCACTGATGTATGATGGAGCTTGATTATTAAGAGCTTTATATGTGAGAAGAAGGATCTTAAAATCTATTCTGAATTGAACAGGTAGCCAATGTAGGGAAGCTAAGACAGGAGAGATATGATCTCTCTTTTTAATTCTCATCAGAACTCTAGCTGCAGCATTTTGGACAAGCTGAAGACTTTTAACTACATTCTGTGGACTTCCTGAGAGTAATGAATTACAGTAATCCAGTCTTGATGTAATAAATGCATGAACTTGTTTTTCAGCATCACTTCTGGAAAGTATGCTTCTAATCTTAGCAATATTCCGAAGGTGGAAAAAGGAAATCCTACAAACTTGTGTAACCTGGGATTTGAATGACATGTCCTGGTCAAAGATAACACCAAGGTTCCTTGCTTTGTTCGCGGAGATTAATGTAATGCCATTAAGGTCAGGCGATTGGCTAAGCAATTTCCTTTTCTGGATTTCTGGTCCAAAGATGAGAACTTCCGTCTTGTCTTGATTTAAAAGCAAAAAGTTTAGAGTCATCCAATTTTTTATGTCCTCAAGACAAGCCTGTAATCTACCCAACCGATTAGGTTCATCAGGGTTAATGGATAAATATAGATGAGTATCGTCAGCATAACAGTGGAAGTTTATCCCATGCTGTCTAATGATTTTACCAATTGGGAGCATATATATAGTAAAAAGAATTGGTCCAAGCACTGAACCCTGTGGTACTCCGCAAGTAACCCTGGAGTATGAAGATGATTTGTCATGTACGTTTACAAAATGAAATCTGTCAGACAGGTAGGATTTAAACCAGCCTAACGCTGTTCCTTTGATCCCTACAACATGTTCAAGTCTTTCTAAAAGAACATTGTGATCAACTGTGTCAAAGGCACAATAGAAAGAGTTACACCTAACTTGCATAACCCGATTTAAATGCGGACGTTGGGGTAGCGTCAGGACGTATGGACTACGTCCAGACGCAATATGCGTCATTTCCGGTTCTTCTTGTTCCAGTATCCGTGAAAACAACAACATGTTTCCCAGTTCGGAAGAGATAGCGACCGCGTTCGTTTGTGCTTTAGTTTCTTCGTCACTCCAAAAGTGTGGTGCTGTGCCGCGACTCGCCATTTTGCTCCCAACTTGTTGTTTACTTCCGGTGTTCTGGCGCATACAAGACGTCTCGCTACGCAAAAGACCAAGATTCCTTGTGAACAGAGCATGTGCAGAACACATGCTTTGATGGGGATATCCCGGTATGCGTTTACACGACCAAACATTCGGGTTAGAAAAGGGTTACCCCCGGTTATGAGCATATCTGGGTTTTTGGCTGTGTTTTCAAGGACCTGCGGAACCGGGTTATTGTGAATATTCGGGTTTTAAAAGGGTTACTGGCTGCATGTAAACGCACTCAGTGATTCAGCAAATCTGAACTCAAAGGCTCCAAACAGCCTGCAGAACTGTGAATCTTATGTAACTGTCAATGTTACCTGAAAGGGCCAAACTATATTTTTTTGCAAGAGTCAAACTTCTGTAGCCATGGTGACAAAGGGCTATTAAATGAGTGGACTATTAAACACGTGTGGGATTGACACAGACACAGATTTATCTCAACAGAGCATGGATTTATCTACAAGTATTTTGATGATGAGCAAGGAACATTGACTAAATTCATTTTTGTACTGATCAAATGAATTTTGAACTAGATCTTGTTAAGGATAAACTGGTACAACTCTGCCAGAAAAAAACAAACGTAGCGACCTGTGTTTGGTTTGTGATCACAAGGGGGTGCTATCATACACATTCTACTTCTGAGAGAAAAAAACAAGAGTTGAAGAAAACATGTGCTAGCTATCTTATCTGAATTTTTAAGCTAGATTCCATGAGCAACTAGCCTGGCAAGCCAGATTAAATAAATGTATTATTTAGTGGCCATGCTCCATTGACGGCTCTCGGTTGTGGGGCGGGTTCTACCGTTGTATTTCAAATGATCTCCGCATTCCACTGGACAATGAATGTGACATACTCTTGTTTCACTCTGTTGAATCATCCCACCCACCAGGCATATAGAGAGTGCCCTGATTGGCCCACAAAGCGGATAAAGCTCTGTGATTTGTTCACTAAGCAGATAGAGCACTATGATTGGCCCTCTATTATGGACCAATCACAGCTCTTTTTGTGTTTGAAACCCCTCTAGAGAGCTGTGATTGGCTAGACAGAGTCCTGGTAGGAGCTGCTGAGGTTCCAATGGAGCATGCCTAGACCAAACTTTGCAAAGCAAAAATTTGGTCTAGTTCACTAGGCTAATGAGCAACAGCAGCACAAACGATAATTTTAGCAGCACAAGCCAGCACAAACGTAGCACAATTGATTTACACCAGTTTTGTTTGATTCCATTAATGTGGGGGGGGGCTGGTTGACCTCTGATGACCTCTAGAAATTTTCATTAATATCTTCAAGAAAGAAGCAGCACAAACGACAATTTTAGCAGCACAAACCAGCACAAACGTAGAACAGTTGATTGACACCAGTTTTGTTTGATTCCATTAATGTGGGGGGGCTGGTTGACCTCTGATGACCTCCAGAAATTTTTATTAATATCTTTAAAACGATAGTAACCCAAACAAAAATTTTTGCAGCAAAAACCAGCACAAACGTAGCACAATGGTTTGATACCACTTTTGTTCGATTTGAAGAAGGTGGGGGGGCTGGTTGACCTTTTGACCTTTATATTTTCATTAATATCTTCAAGAAAGAAGCAGCACAAACGACAATTTTAGCAGCACAAACCAGCACAAATGTAGAACAGTTGATTGACACCAGTTTTGTTTGATTCCATTAATGTGGGGGGGGCTGGTTGACCTCTGATGACCTCCAGAAAGTTTTATTAATATCTTGAAAACGATAGTAGCACAAACAAAAATTTTTGCAGCACAAACCAGCACAAACGTAGCACAATGGTTTGATACCACTTTTGTTGGATTTGAAGAAGGTGGGGGGGCTGGTTGACCTTTTGACCTTTACATTTTCATTAATATCTTCAAGAAAGAAGCAGCACAAACGACAGTTTTAGCAGCACAAACCAGCACAAACGTAGAACAGTTGATTGACACCAGTTTTGTTTGATTCCATTAATGTGGGGGGGCTGGTTGACCTCTGATGACCTCCAGAAAGTTTTATTAATATCTTGAAAACGATAGTAGCACAAACAAAAATTTTTGCAGCACAAACCAGCACAAACGTAGCACAATGGTTTGATACCACTTTTGTTGTATTTGAAGAAGGTGGGGGGGCCAACTTCACTCAGGTGCCCCCGCACCGTGAGAACAAACACCTCAGCTCTAACACCAATCTTCATCTGCATACGTCACGTCACGTGACCAGGAAGCAGAAAATCCATGTGTTAGGAGATTGTTTTGGGCCGCTGCTGCAAAAAATGTAAGGCGCGAACCGGAAAAGCTTCTGACGATCACAATTTGACAACGGATTATGAAAGAACGGATAACGCTCGAAACGCGCAGATGCTTCCTGATGTAAGAGGTGAGTCTACTCTTTGTTTTGGTTGTTTTGGCGTCAACATCATCCTAGCACGCAACGTTCTGCGAGCCTTAAAAAAACAGTAAAAACTGTGAGAAACGTTGTCAGCGAAGGGCTTTACCAATCAGGAAACAGCTGGCAGCGAATGAGTTAAAGGTATGGAAAACCGAAAAACCATTTAGCATGCATTAGCTTCTGATAGAGAACTCTAGGATTTGAAAAGCCTGACAGATCTACCCCACAGTGACACTTGACGTTCATGGACTCACCCTTCTTGACTCAACGGGGAAGGCTGTTGTTGGCTAGTAGAAGCTAACAGTTAGCATTAGCAACTCCACAACAAAGTAGAACTCCTCCATGCTTTTGTTAATCGTGGAGACAAAACAAACCGAGTCAATGTAAGCGTTGCGTTGCTGTTAGTCCGAGGAGAGATGTCCAAATATCAGGTCCAAATCCTGGCATCTGACGCTCAGCTCAGAAATGGCTCAATTCTAGTTCCTGAAACTGGTGCACTGGAGTTCTGTTTCCCCAGAGTCCGACTTACCAAGTACTCATTCCGACTAGAAACCACTTGATAAGTACTGATTAAACGAGTGATCCACACATTTAAAAATGAAACTTAGCTAGGCTCTTAAGAGGTTTCCACCACAGATACATAACAAAAAGGATTTGTGCTTTTGATCTGAGTGATTCCTACCTGGACAGGTGTTTCCCCTGAGAGTATACAAGAAGATACTTGACTCGTAAAAGCTGATTATTGGTGACTATAAAGTATTTCTGTGGTACATCACCACCCTCGCTGTTCCTCGCTCGCGAACGCCGCCTATCGATGATATCGGAATCTGAAAGAACGAGGAGACTTTAACAGCTAGTGAGAGGAGAGTGGCTGTCTATGTGTCTCGGGATCAAACAAACCTTTTTTCTTCACTTGGCACTTAACATCAGGATGATCAATGACTTCACACAAGGCCACGCAGCTGAGGAATGGACCCAGGATGCTTTCTCTCCAGCTGCTGCCGTGGGGACTGTAGAGCAGAGCCATGCTGAGGTCACTGGTGAGGTAGGTCCCTTCTCCAAAAACTGAGTTCTACAAAAATAATGAATGAACAAATGTTAAGTTTGCATGACAGAAAATACTATACCTGTCTCGCAGAAGTGACAATCTGCTCGTTTTAACATCTGTTTTAAAGTACAACTACATAAGGAACACAGTTCATATTTTTCTCATCTGAGACCTTGTTGAGGTGACACTGCAGCCCGTTGTGAATGATTGAGTGAAAGTTCTCCAGTCGGCTCCCATGGAATGCATAGAAAACCTCTCGCCCTTCTCTAGTCTTCTCAAACCTGGTGTTCAGGTGATCCGAGTACTCCAGCTCAAACAGGAAGTTGGGCGCAGGTGCAGAAGTACAATCACTTTCCATCAGGTTACAAAGTTTGGCATACTAGAGAATATTAAAAAAATCCAAATTAAACAAAACTGCAAGAAGAAGGAGACACTGCAGAGTACAAATGATCCTTTGTACCTCATCCCTTTCCAGTGTGTTTACAGCAAGGCTCTTTGAGGACAGGATCCAGTGTACAAGAGCCAGATGATGATCTCCCTCTCCAGGTTGTAGTCTCACCAGATCTCTCACACCAGGCAATGAGTCAACATCTGCCAACTAAAAGCCAAAACTTAAAAAAATATACTAACAAACTAAAATGATTATCACAGATACATGGCTGTATTATAAATTGAATGCACAGTTGTTATGGCCACCAGCCTGGCCTCTTCAGGTGGAAGAGCCAGGATCACCCCGCCCCGGTGATCAGCCCGACACCACCCCTCCTCCTCCTCTCTTCCAGGCTGCTGAAGAGCACAGCTGAGCTGAATCTTTCTGATGACCTGGGATAAAAAGGCTGTGCCTTCAGCAGTCTGGGAGGCAGCAGTGCAGGGGTTCTGCTGGCCTCCAGACTTCATTTTGTTCCCAGCCCCTTCAATTAGATGTGTTTTAACTCTTGAGTGATCAGAAGGATTGTTTTATAGGTTAACTTGGCGATGCAATTTTACTGACTTTGGTTATAAACACCTTCTGTTTGGTAAAACTTTTAATATAAGTTAACCAGGTGTTTTTAATGTTGGTAATTGGGCTTTTAATGTTAATTTTTTAAAGTTTTTTTTGTTTGGCATTATTTTAATAATGCTCGCCAGCTGTTTGCACTTGTTTTCAGAACCTTTTATAACAATTAAACCCATTTTAACCCCACTATCATGTTTCTTATGTTACCACCTCCTTCACATTTTAACACCTCCTGTCGGGGACGTAACAACAGTACTAATCAAAATTTTTATATTTAGTATTGGACAGATGACATAAAACAGCCCATTACTGCCACCAAGTGTCTGTATTTCCAAGATAATGTGCATGTGCACTCTTCAACATCTTCGATCATAAAAATATCAAGGCTTGTAAAAGTATGACCGTGTTTGACATGTTGGCCTCTGAAAGCAAACTCTACAGCTCTTACCAAATCCTCAAAGTCCTTTTGTATCTTAAGATTTATGTATCGGGGAGGGAAGGGTCTGAGCAAAGAGTCCCTCTTGTAGCTCTGTGCAGCAGCAACAAACAGGCTGCAGCGGAGGTCAGCAGCTACTGGGTCTCTGTGCAGACAGGAGCTCACCAGCTCCCTGACAGCCTCCGGTGGCAGGAGGGGCTGCATTCCCAACACTAGAGACAAGAGAAAAACACGAGACACGTCAGACTAACAAAGTAACATGTAACAACGAATAACTCGAACCAACATGAGGGGTGACTCAAAAGCCTGAAATTTTAGGTTTATTAAAATATTAATTTTCCTTTTTGACAAAAATAGTCACATTTTAATTACTTTTGATTTCATACTACTTGTCGAAGATCTAACAAAAAGTTGTAAATTGGTAAAGTCAATAAATATGAAAACATGGTCGCTGTTGTTTATTTGAAGAAAGACATTTTTACAAAACATAACAGCTGGTCACTAGCTACCCAACAGTTCAACTTTATTCTAACTCCATTGACCAACATAGACACACTTGCTGAAATAAAAATACAAATGTAAAACTCAGTTTTTAACGCTGCCATTTAAGTCACGAGTTAAAATAGCTGTTGTGCCTCCGACTTCGCTAGTTTAAAGAAGCTAACATTAGCTGTGACGTAAATATCCGTTGACCTGTAACCCTGTAACCTTAGATACTACCATCGAAATTAAAACACCCGTTTTCTAATTTCTGGAAAATAATGTAAGACTCATATATTCACGAATACAATTCAAAAACAACAATGAAGTAACCCTACCTTCTAACAGGCTCAACTCACATAACTGCAATGCGTGAAAATGCTAACATTAAGTTAGCAGACGTCCCGCTGTATTCAAAGACAGTACAAACCTCGGAATTTTCCAATTCAACCGACTTCAATTTGATGTCAGTCCTCGAGAATTAACAGAAAATCATTGAAAAAAATCTCAGAAATGTTTAAAACTCATCTGGCAAAAACATTCCTTCATAAAGTTGAATAATTATTTGCATACACACGGAGATGAAGTGTAAAGTTCAATATTACGATAACACAAAGGCAGCAGACGTAATGCAGTAACAACTGGTGACGCAAAGACGTAAAAATGATGTGAAGATTCTTAAGAGAAAACTGCACCGATTGTTTATTCTATTAATCTGGAATTTCTTTTTTACTTTTATTTAATTGAAAATTGTGACAATATCACATAAATTTAAATACCTGATTATAAATTATTATAATTCAATTCTAGTCTTCTAGTCTAAAATCTATTCTTTTTGAGGTAGCAATGACTTGTTGGCAACTATCAGATATGAGTCCTATGGGTGACCCATGCACTTCATACCCTCATAACACACGTAAAAATAAGGAACTCCTTAACGAAAGCACCCCTCAAAAGTCCCTGACATGTAATCTGCAATTCTGAATCTGACATTTGACATCAAGATGTCTTCTCCCGATCCGATTGATTTCTTTTAGAGAAATCTAAATTAATCATTCAAACTTCTATGAACTTCTATTTTTTACTCTGATTTTGAGTCTTTCTTTTCTTCAAGTTGTCTAATAAATAAGCATTGGAGTATTGTTTTTTATTAAGCCTTTTCATTTGACACTGACACAAAACATTCAGAAAGGCCAGTGGCATAATAATTTAGCAAAGAACTACGTTTAAATGAAATATCTGAACAGTGTTTGGCTACCTGTAAAATACTTAATTTTTTTCCTCAGTTTGTTCAGTTTACTCAGTGAATACTACCAAAGATAACTGATGATGTCTTTTGGGACAGTCTTATGAACAGCATGTGATGATGATCTATAATGGGTGGCTCAGGTCTTTTCTCAGCACTTTTCTGGAAGTTTTATTATTTTTTAGATATAATGTTGAGTGCTAATTAGATATATTTTAGAACTTTTCATAAGACCTTTTAGTCTGACGCTATTAAACCAGACATCTGAGTTTTTTTAATGAAACCTGACGTTTTTATTTTCTCATATCAGACACCTGAGACCTGAGGATATCCTAAAATAGCCTATACAACACCAGATGTTCATCTTTTTGTACCACTGGCACTTCTTCTGTTTCCCTAGCAATATTTTCTATTTACGTTACACACAGTTTACCATCATAGTCAAGTGCAAGCAATAAAAACGAGTGAAAATTCAGCCAAAATCCAAATGTGGAAACCTTAATTTGATCAGAAACGATTGTGTGCTAAGATGCAGCCAATCAGCTCGCCTCTTCCATGGAGCACGGATGAGAGAGGCATGGCTTAGTAAAACGTTCCTCGTTTCTGATTGGTTGATTTGAGCTCGCAGCAAATTCCTTGTTGTTTTTCTAGGAGCCGCTGTCCTCCCACACGGGTACAATCCAGCAGAGGGGGTTATGCGCGTAAAGAAAAGACCTCACGTCACGTGACCACCTCTGACTCCAAACCCACCATCCGAGAGGAATAACGGCACATATTTATACGAGCAGCGGCCTATTTGATTCCTTTCACCTGCGTCTTTTTTAAAGCTAGAGAAACCCATAAGATGCAGACTAAACGAGCAGAAGGATTCTAGCGTCGTCCTCGGACTGAACGGGAGGTAAGGCGTGTAAATCGCTGCAATTTCATTCATTACAAACCAGCTTTATGGAGGAGGTGAATAAAAAAAAGATAAAAGCTGCGAAGTGAAGCCTCAAAATGTGTTAGGTTGTTTATTGCAATGAGCATGGATGGAGGAGAGGCACCCATGGCACGGTGACGCACAGGCTGAAGGACGCCTCTCCATCGCCTGTGATCACGATGCACCGCGACCTGCTGCTGCATCACTGCCACCCGCCGAAATGTGCACACATTTTATCCTGGTTGAGCCTAAAAATTTACGAAAACCCTCCATTGGTGCGTTTTGTTTAGCTATTATACGTTCCCGACAGAAAAATGTCCTTCAAACTCCATCATATACATCCACCATGATGCACAGCCAGGGAAGGCATCCAGATGATGAATTTCAGCCTACGGAAATTTATCAGTCAGCTGAACTATTTATAGCCTAAACTATAAACCCTTAGCCCGTGTTTTCGCCTATCTTTAAGGTCCCAGCCTCACAAGAAATGTTTAGGCTATCCATGATAATTCCACAAATGATGCTGGATGATGGGTGGGCCAGTTTTATTCAAATTACATGAGGATAAAATTTGTTTCCTAGCAGAGAAGTGGATGCTGAGGCCTGGATGAGCTGTGCCCTGCATGATGCTACAGGAAGTGTATTGTTTACTGGGTCATTTTCTCTCCACAGTTTGGATTTTAAGGCAGCTGATAGCAAAGTTTGTGCATCTGATTACGAGAGTGGGAGAAGTCTGAGCAGCAATCATGGCTGGTAAGCTTTCCTTTCTGTATTTAATTTTATTTTTTACTGCTTTATGATTAAAGGAACATCCTTATTGAGCCACTCAGATCACTTCATTTGTGGTATTTTTATTCTCTTTCCCCGTAGAGAACAACTTTCCTCCCCTTCCAAGGTTCATCCCCCTCAAGCCATGTTTTTATCAGGACTTCAATGAAATCCCAGACCAGCGGCGCACCATGTGCAAGAGGCTTTACTACCTCTGGATCTGTGAGTGCTCCTGCAGGGAGAAGAGCACATGCTGGATGAAATGCCATTTATGTTCTGATGAATGAAGGGCATGAGGATATCTCCTCAACACGAGGAGACCTGACTAAAAACAAAGGAAGATGATTACTTTTAACCCTGTTTTAATGTTAAAAGCCAAGAAAAGTTTGGATGACTAGTTTTTTTATTTGCACAAGTTTTTCTTGAATCTAAAGCAGAAGTTGATCGGAACAAACTATGGTAATTCAGATCTAAACAACAATAACCTAAACAGCTTTTAAGAAGCAAATTGTTGGGCAATTTGCAGGTTTAGTTCATTTTTTTATATTTATGAAGACGATTAGCCTCTATAGCTTCATCTGTAAATTTCCAGGTAAAACATATAAAGTAAAAAGCAAAGTCACTAAAAGACCCTAAATATATAAGTTCAGAAATAAACAGCAGTGCTTTTTTAAAAATAGCATTATTCTTTTGCAACACAAATAACCTAAAATCAAACAAACTTCAAATGGAATGTTGTGTAAACATTTAGTGGAAACAGTTTGCAACATATTCAAAAATGTTTCTACTTTTTGGTCTAGCAAGGAAGAAGAGATGAAAAATGTCACATTTCAACCATCATTAAACATGATTTATTCTTTACTGGCCCTAAATCAGGGGTTTGCAACCCTTCAGAGCCATTTTCATGATCTCTCCTATTAAATATAATACAGATAGAGCTACTAAATCAACTTGAAAATCAAGATTTAAACATTTTACTTAAAGGGGCATTATGGAAGTTTGACAGCCAAAACTTGTATAGAAATAATACATTTCTTCTTCATACATTCTCCTGCAATGCGCTGGTCCTGTAGAATGATTTTTTTACTGTGATTGCCTGTTTTTCTGTAAAATCACAGAAAAAGAGAGCTGCTCGGGTTGAGCAGGCTGCTTCATGCGCGTTCACGCTCAGGCATAGGCCTCCTAACCGTTCTTTGAACGTTGTTTAAGCTGTTATCAAGGATATAAATGTTACAGATACCAAGGATGTCACTGGAGCTTTAGCTCACCTAGTAAGGCGTCGGATTCTTGCGTAGAAGATCTGGGTTCGATTGTGTGTGTGAATATAGTTTATTTAGAGTTTATTTTTTACATTAATGGTATATTTTTTTTACAGTAAGATGCCCAAATTTTTGTTTGAGACTCACCGAACGGCATTGAATTCACAGATAAAAAAGATGTGGGTTCAACTTTCATTTTGGAACAAATTTTCAAGCAAGGGAAGGGAATGATCTGAGCATGCTGGAGGACTGATACATCATAAACCTTTGTCGGCTGTGCTGAAGAGAAAGGTACAGAACCAAATTATTTAATTAATTAGCAGCGCGTTCTCCTGTCCTCTGTCCTCCAGGCCCCACGCACGCACACACACACACACACACACACACACACACACACACACACACACACACACACACACACACACACACACAAACACAGGACTGTCTCAGCTGTTATTTTCGTTGAGGAGTGTGCACGTACAGCATGTGCGCCTCGTGCACGAGCCTACTATTGAAGCTGCCGTTACGCTTTTGGCCTGAGGGGGCAATCGCGAGCATAAAAATTCAAAAGTCCGTAAAGTCGCTTTAACTAATTGTGACATAAAAAAGAAATCACAAAACATGTATTGTTCAGAGCTATGTACTGTTTCAGCCCAAAGCAGGAAGCCTAAAGTGATCACTGCATAAAAAATAAAACATTTACATTATTTTAATGAAAACGAGAATTGTTTTTTGTATTGTGTTTGGTTTTAGTTGACTGGTAGCAGAATATGAGCTGAGAAAAATTTGTTTGCTCCCCTACACCTCTAACTTTATATAATTTATTTTCTATAAAATATCAGAAATTTGTGCAAAATCCTAAAACCAATCTAAATGATGAAAATATTTATAGATTATTTCAAAATCTCGCCCTTTGACATCAATAATATCAGTTTAGCAGTTTGTTTAGCATCTAAATAAATATATTATTTTATTGAAAACTTTAGTGTTTATTTCTTCATGGGAGTAGTCATTTATGAATATTCAATATAATTTGTTATTTATTTGTACAAGCTTAGAGGGCTTTTAATCTATTTTAAATATGTTCTAAACTTTTTTGCATCATTTTTGATGATGTGGAATTTATTATCAGAACAAATGAAAATGACTTGATAAATATAGAAAAAAAGCCTTGATATTGTAAAAGACTAACATGTAATTAGAATTTTTACACTGGAGTAGAGAGTAGATTATCTACAAATAAATATGTAATTGATAAAGTATGAACATGTAGTTTTATTTTTTTGAGTGCAATAGTTAGACACTCCCTCTAAAATGCATTAAAACGTGTATAATGAAGATTTCTGGGGTGAATTAAAAATGATTACAGGAACTGTGACAATATGTTTAGTTAAGCTAACGCTGAATGATTTTGACTCATCAGATCAGTGATCAAACCCGCTGCATCATGACAAACAGGCTGATCGTGGTTTTTTTGTTTTCAGCCTCATATGACTGTCTGTTTTTGTGACATTGACAGTGAACTCTGCCACGCTCGCTGTTAATCTGATTGGCTGCCTGGCCTGGATGTGTGGAGGTGGAGGAGCCACCAACTTCGGCATGGCCTTCCTCTGGCTCATCCTCTTCACTCCTTGTTCCTACGTGTGCTGGTTTAGGCCCATCTACAAGGCATTCAAGTAAGCCCTTTGACCTCTGAGCATGCATGTGCCACTTTAACAGATCTGCTGAGTTACACAGTTGATTGAGCTGATTCTTCCCTCCACATAGGACCGACAGCTCATTCAACTTCATGGCTTTCTTCTTCGTCTTCATGGCTCAGGTGGTGATAAGCATCATCCAAACCGTTGGTATACCAGGGTGGGGCGTCTGGTAAGTGGCTCCAGTGGTCTAGCCCCAGTAACACACACTCCATGTTTACTATGTTTTACGTCACGCCTGAGAGAATCTTAGATGACAGTCAGTCATAATATGGTTATTTCTAAAAGTTTATCAGCTACAGACATACATCCAATGGTTACTGTTTAAGATTTTCAATAAAATCCATCTTTTATTGCATGAGGTATTTTGCCAACCAGGTTAGCTCCAACGTTTAGACCTTTAATGTCTGAAATAAGATACAAAAATATCTGAAGAAATGTTTCATTTAAATGTCTTACTCCTTACCTAATGTTATTAAAACAATTATATAATAATCAATTTCATTTAATTAAATCATAATAAAGGATTTAAATTGCCCCTTGCAACTTGTAGATCTTCCACCAGAGGGCAGTAGACTGTATGGGTTAAACAGGGTTTTGATGAAGGTGCTAATCCTAATACACATAGGCCAGACATGGATTAATGCTAAATGAGACAACAGTCTACAAGGGGATAATGCTAACCTTATATACAGGCAAAACGGTTATAGCCCACCTCTCGCCTTTCAGCAATAACCACTGATTTCACATGCTAAACTGTTGGGTGCATGGATGCTTTATAGTGTTGTGGTGTGTGATTACTTCATTGTACTTTTCCTCAGCGGCTGGCTGGCTACCATCACCTTCTTCAGCACCAACATAGGCTCAGCTGTTGTGATGCTGATTCCCACCATCATGTTTACTGCAGTGGCCGTGCTCTCCTTCATTGCTCTCACAAAGGTGATTCGTTAAAGCTAAACTTGTTCTCCTGCAGCGCAACTAAAATGGGACAAAAATGTTTAAGCTGCACAAGTCAAAAACTCTTAAATGTACTGCATGTATTGTGTATTTTCCAGGTTCATAACTTCTATCGTGGAAGTGGTGGGAGTCTAGGTAAAGCCCAGGAGGAGTGGGCCACGGGGGCCTGGAAGAACCCACATGTCCAACAAGCAGCCCAGCAGGCGGCGATGGGGGCCGCACAAGGGGCCATACAGCAGAATCAGTACTCAGCAGCTCCCACCTACAACTACGACGACCCGATGTAGGACAAGAGGAGGGGGTCAGACAGCAGAGTGGGAGAGCTAAAAAGGGATCAATTAACAAACACAACCAGAATTAGGTGCCCTTCATATTATCACAGTACAAGCTGAATTTAAACAGAAAGTGAGGGGGAAAGAGATGGAAATGTGCTTTTGATGACATTTGACTTATAGGATTAAATGATTTACTGAAATTTGAGGTAGGATAAAATAACGAGCTGATTCTCACTTAAATCAACAAACAGTTGTCAAAACAAGCTGCCGTTTCGCTGCTTTGTTTAGCTCCCTGATGTGTTTATTTCTGATATTACACAACTATAACTATTCCTTCAGCGCCATCAATTCCTTCAGGTTCATTTGTGTGTCTTTTGATACATCCCGCTTCTCAGTTTAAAAACCTTTAAGGTGCTGGAACAGCCACGTCGTTCAAAGTGTTTTCTTGTTGCTTTGACGCTCACAAAATGGCTACTAGGTCACATAAACGCGTGTCAAGAAAACCTTTAAGAATAACCTCCCACTCTAGGAATAGTTTGCCTTTTCTTCAACTCAGAGTTTTCCAGTTTTTTGATAGATGGTAACTGCTTCCTCTAGCAGCTGGTTATATTGTCTGGTTCTGGTTCTTTACGCTTGTTTCATTTCTTGATGCTAAGCTAAGCTGCTAGTGATCGTTTCGTATTCATTCAACAATCATGCTGACAATAAAAATTGTGATTCTGACCACTTCCTAAAGTTTAGGGAATATTAAAGCGTACGTTTAATTGCTGTAATTACTTAGAATCATTAAGTTTATTATTGAGTGTGTTTTTCATTAAAAAAAAGTTAGCATTAGCAGTTTTGGTTAGGGTTAAGATTTTGGTTTAGATTAGTTTTTTTTTTACATTCTCAGGAAAAAAATGTGTTTTAAGCCCTTAAAATGTCAACGGTTTTGTCTTGTTTGCTTCTTTTTATCTACTAAAATGTTTTTTTTTCTCCATTCATTTTTAAAAGCAGGCAAATTTCTTTCCTTTTGTAATATTTCATTTTTAAATTGAAGCACACACAGCATTTAGGGATTCATATTGATTGGAAAAACATTCAGAATCAGTGTTGTAAAAGTGAAAATGCAACAGAAAACCAAAACAGCTGCAGGTCGGACAAACAGTAAATAATATTTGTTGTCGATGGTTGAAGCTTTACGTTGCGTGATGGGTGTTTCCCGTTCCCTTTGGAATATTCTCCCAGGCCCCCCTTTAATGTAAATGCTTCAACTTGTCTCTGAAGTTCTGAACTCCAGGACTTATAGTGTGTCATTTTGTGGCTGTTGGTGTCCACGAATCAACGTAATATTAAAAGAAAATAGAATATTCAATTGAAGGCAGTTATGTTGTTTACAGAGTGAAATTTAACAAGAGGACAAATACTGTATGTGAGGCCTGATGTGAGTTTTTAGAGCCGTGTTGATTTCAGACAGAAGACTTTTGGTCTTTTTTGAGAATTTCCTAGTCCTCCAGTAGATGGTTACTGCAGTAAAGTACAGTATTAGGCTTGAAACTGATGTGAAAATACGTATCTGAATGCTCATTCGTTCTAAATTGTGAGTCGTCTTGTCTGACTGTGATGATGTTGTATTCTATTGGCTGTTTCTTGTTTAACTTTTTGGTTTTATTTGCTCAGTTCTAAAGCGACATATATGTTTTCCCGTGCAATAATGTGTGGGTGAGACTGAGGCACGTGTTTGTTGTGTCTCTTCATGGCTGTGGTGAAGTTGTTTAAGTTCTAACTCTTTTTGAGGATTTCACTGAGTGTTTGTACTGGGTTTCCCTCGTCGATATTCAGTTCGAACAAAAATTCGGAGTGAATTCACGGTGCAGCAATACTCACATTATTACAGAGTCGTGTTCAGCCCAGACAAGGTAACAGTGACTAGTTTGGAGCATTTGAAGTTAGTTTCTGCAGAAACAAAAATCACAAATAGTATCTCACCCTGAGTGAACTCAGTTTAAAGAAATAATTTTATTTCTGATCAGTTTGACAAGCTAACGGCTAGTCTAAAGGAGGCTAAGAATAAAGGGGATCTCTACCGTCATAATACAGTCTGAATCTCAAGTGCAATTTTATAGTAGGCCCTGTGAACAGAGTTTTATAAAACTTTACATCCCCACTAGTTTCACATTATTACATTAGCAAATTAGCAGCAGTGGCTAAGTGTAGCACTTCCTGTGGTGCCTGGACACAACCAGCAAGAACGTGAAATTATTTCTGCTAGAATAATAATTTAGGCTAAAAATGAGAGCTTTCTGATTAACCTCAGCTTGGAGAAACAGGGTGATCAAATAGACAAGCTAATGGCTAATCTAACAGACCCCAGACCGGAGTGATTTACTACTAGAATAAACGTTTTGCTCTCAGACTTGTTCGTTACCTGGAGAGTGTTGCAAAGCAATTCCCCGCCAGGACAACAGAGGGCGTATCGCTTTTCTGTGGCATCATGGCACCTTTGCTGTCATGTATACGGTCCACGGTAGTTATTTATTACCGTGTTAACATAATTCAGAGACTTAATAATACAGACACATTTTTCTTCATTCTCCTCCACCTTTTCATGGAGCGCCACCTCTAAACCATGCTCTAAATCTGTTTTGTGTCTGCCACTAAATATCTTTTTACTTTTTACCGGACGCAATGGTGGCGCTGTTGACAAATTTACAGGAAGCTGCGTCTTGACCAATCACAAGCTTGAAGTATAAATCAGGCTGAAGTCCCAACAGAGTGGCCCGCCAGGCTGAAACTGCAAATACAATATTCTGGCCACAGAGGCCGGTGGGGGTCTGAGTGACATTTCATTAACCCTCTAAAGCAGGGGCGGGGAACCCTGGTCCATCGAGGGCCACTATCCAGCATATTTTAGTTTCAACCCGGCTTCAACACACCTGATTTCAGTCAGCAGGTGATTAACAGGCTTCTGCAGAGCTTGATGAGCTGCTGCACAGGTGAATCAACCACTGAATCAGAAGTGTTGGAATAAAGACATGCAGGACACCGGCCCTCGAGGACCAGGGTTCCCCACGCCTGCTCTAAAGGGTCACTTTAGCACATACTGGGTCAAGAAAATGGTTTGAAAATATGTAAAGTTGCAAAGTATGGCTTTAAGGTGGCAGTGATTCACTTTGATATTTGCCCCACTCACACTAGCTGTTAACTTGTCAATCCAGTGCAAATATAACTTTGTCTTCCCAAAATTAAGCTATTTAAACAACTATTTACAACTAGTAATATGTTAAGTCTTCATAACTGTTCCACAGAACCCCACTTTAAAGACTAAATCTTTAACATTTGAGTGTTTCACTGTTAGAAAATAAAAGAAAAGGTTGATTTCGAGCTGGAGTTTTAATTAAAAGCTGCGTTAACATTTTCACCAGCAGATAGATACAGTAGATAGTCTGTAAACATCACCACACGTGCATTCATCTGCACATCTGATTCTTTTTATGCATTTAGCGGGAAGCATATTGCACATAAATACACACTTGATGGAATTATTGAAAGTTACAGCTGTGTGTTTAACGTGTAGCAGGAGCTGAAGCTAACCGGAAAGCCATGACTTCTTTCCATGTTCACACATGTACTGTACTGTATGTTGTATGAAATGTATTATCATGTACTATATCATAAGTAGGTATGAATATATAATTACATGAGGTGATATAATCTTTGCCATGGATAAACACATTCAATAGGAACATGCTGTATTTCGGTGAAATAAATGTTTGAAGGGCGCCGTGACTCCATAAGTGACGTAAATGAGAAATACATTTTTGTGTATTACTTTTGTATTATTTGTTCTTATCCTAATAGATAATAAATAGTTCTTGTTGCATCCTGGTTTGTACTTTTTAAAGCTTGAATGCAGCGTTGACCTTTGATTTACTGACTCATCGAGGATTTTCAAAAGATTAAATGGATTGAAATCGAATACTTTAACATACCGGACAGTCATAACTGATTATTTCTCTGTAGTTATGCTGATTGTATAGAGATTAGCTTGCAAAATTGACTGTGAACATTTGGTTTGCCATGACACATTTTAGAATTTCTTCATGTTTAATTGAGCAAAATCTATAAATTATGATTGTGTACTTCACGCACGTTTACTTTGGCTATAAAATATTTATATTCCATGTAAAGCAGTGTCCAAACCCTCTGAGAAATGTCATGGGTCATGAACTTATTTTACATATACTCACACACACACACACACACACGCACGCACGCACGCACGCACACACACACACACACACACACACACACACACATACCCACATATATAAATATATATATATATATATATATATATGTATATATATATATATAAATATATATATATATATATATATATATATATATATATATATGTATGTGTGTGTGTGTGTGTGTGTGTGTGTGTGTGTGTGTGTAAGAATGTGTTGCGATGTCAGACGGGCCGGTTTGAGTATTTCACAATCGGCTCAGTTACTAGGATTTTCACACACAACCATCTCTAGGGTTTACAATAAATGGTGTGAAAATGGAAAAACATCCAGTATGCGGCAGTCCTGTGGGCGAAAATGCCTTGTTCATGCTAGAGGTCAGAGGAGAATGGGCCGACTGATTCAAGCTGATAGAAGAGCTACTTTGACTGAAATAACCACTCGTTACAACTGAGGAATGCAGCAAAGCGTTTGTGAAGCCACACCACGCATGGCCTTGAGGCGGATGGGCTACAACAGCAGAAGACCCCACCGGGTACCACTCCTATCCACTACAAATAGAAAAAAGAGGCTACAATTAGCAGGAGCTCACCAAAATTGAACAGTTGACGACTGGAAAAATGTTGCCTGGTCTGAGGAGTCTCTATTTCTGTTGAGACATTTAAATGGTAGAGTCAGAATTTGGCGTAAACAGAATGAGAACATGGATCCATCATGCCTTGTTATCACTGTGCAGGCTGCTGCTGGTGGTGTAATGGCATGGGGGATATTTTCTGCACACTTTAGGCCCCTTAATGCCAATTGGGCATCGTTGAAATGCCACGGGCTACCCGAGCATTGTTTCTGGCCATGTCCATCGCTTCATGACCACCATGTACCCATCCTCTTATAGAAACTTCCAGCAGGATAATGCACCATGTCATAAAGCTCCAATCATTTCAAACTGATTTCTTGAACATGACAATGAGTTCATTGTACTACAACGGCCCCCACAGTCACCAGATCTCAACCTGATAGAGCATCTTTGGGATGTGGTAGAACGGGAGCTTCATGCCCTGGATGTGCATCCCACAAATCTCCATCAATTGCAAGTTGCTATCTGTAGCAGAGGCAAATTGATGATTTTATGTGTTACAACCAGGAGGATGTAATATGCTATATAAATAAAAAATATTAACCTGCGAGGTCCTTTATTGTATAATCAGAAGATTCTAGGATTTACTTCAGAAGATCTAGGTTCTTTGCTTTTTCAGTGATCAACCACACTTCGTGTTACTTCAAGAAAGAGTCATGTTTATAAAAGTAAGAATTTATTTTACAAACAATTTAAAACATGACTAATTAACTAAGCATTTTCTGTGATTGGATGTAACTAAATGTGAGGAAGAAACCTACGTGTGAATGAAATGTCAGGCAGAGCTTCCTTATCAAAGTAAGCTAAGTTCTGGTGAAAAGAATTTGATTTGCTCTAAGCTATACAGTTTTTATCATCAGAAGAACATTCAGATGCAATCTGTCATGTCTACTGTACCCGTTTCAGAGAGACCCTCTTGGTGGATCCGAAAGTCACAGGGGTCGGCTGACCGCTGGCACCGGAGAGCTGTAGAATACCGTGGTACTGACTCTTCAGTCCAGAGATGTCTCGGGTCACAACAGCTGGATGGAACCGTGCGTCTGGCAGACTCTTAAGGAGTCTAACAATATCAGCTTTGTTACTGCAGGAACTGTTTGCTCATCAGCTGTGCAGGTGCAAAAAGGTTTTGACGTGTCAAAATCTTTGATGGTTAAAGAGGTTTTGCTAAAGATGGCCGGTCTGAGCGATTCTCTAGAACTGTCGAATCTCTCAGAATGATCCAGTTTTAAGGTTTAGCTGTTATCATTTGCACAGCCAATCAGAGGCTGACAGGTTTGAGAGATGTTAACAAGACAACTCAGAAACACGCCTTCTTGATACAGGATGTTCTGACTGGGTTAATACTATGTGTGTCAGGGTTTAACTTAGCTGTACTTGTAATGTGTGTGTGCAGGTGTGAGGACCTGTCGTCTAAACATGTTGAACACATGGCAGTCTTAGTAGACATAACACTCATTTCCCTTCAATTATTGAGCACAGATTAATGAAGTCTTTCAATACAATATAATGATTGTTAAGTAGCAATAAACAAATGTTTATTTAATGATTATCTAGATTATAAGTCATGGAAGAAGTTCATATTGATTTAGTAAATCATTCTTGAATTTACCAACTGATTCGAGCTGGAGTTCTTCTGTGGAGGCACAGATGGGACTTTGGGAAAGAAAGTTATTGTTTATCTTTCAGACTTGCAGTCTGTGAATCTCAGCTGGTGTGCAGGCACTCATTTAAAAGGAACACATGCAATGTTGTCTCCTTTCTGACCAGATGTTTAATAGATGGTGAAAGGTCAGGCTGTACCTAAACTGACCATTGCTGGACGCTACATATCCTATCATTATGGGACAACATTCTGCAGCAGCTCATCAGAATGCTTTCAGCACCCTGTTGAATCAATGCCATGTAGAATTAAGGCAGTTATGAAGGTGAAAGGAGGTCAAACACCATATTAGCATGGTGTTGCTGATAATCCTTTAGGTGAGTGTAATTATATATATATATATATATATATATATATATATATATATATATACACACACACTTGAAACATTTTATATAAATTACAAAAGCCAAAAGTATTTTATTTTGAAAATATTTATCTTCTGCTGCCAAGTAATGAATGTGCTCATATACCTCAAGATTAAAGTAACTGGTTCCCACTGACACCCTTGCTGATCAGACCACAAAGCAATAAAAACAGAAATCAGTTTAAAATTCTTTATTCATAAACTTGATGCAAGTTTACAAATTACTGTACATGGTCAGTTTCTTCAAATGGTAAAATGAAAATTAAATCAAAAACCAGTGAGCCGAAAGCAAGACTCCATCATCTGTCGGTGCCAGAAAAGCTGAGAACCAACTTAAAGATTGAATCTTTTAAACACGCGGTGGTCCAGTTAAGAGAAGCAAGACAATCCAACCACCACAGGGGTGTACCTTCAGACATCGCTGCAGCAAAGAATGTTGAGATTAAAAAAGCTTCCTAGTTCAGATTTCTGTCTTAACCACACACACGCACGCAGACACCTGTCAGCCGTGGCTTACTGATGACGTCACACATGCTCCTCCCCCCTCAAACACATCTAAGACATGTAACAGCAGAAAACAGAGCAGTGTAAAGATAAATATTTCTCCTGATCTGAAAACACACCACCTCTCTGGGAACGTTGCATCAGGAAATGGGACAAAGCTGCACGCTGAGACTGGGAGTAAACAAATACCAGATGGATCTGAGGAGGCCACCATGCTTCTGAAATCCTACTTTTCATTTCTCTCCTACGTTCATCACTCGCATCACAAAAAAAATAAAAAATAAACCAACAGATTTTCTTTTTAGGACACGGGATCTCTGGGTGAATAAGCCTGGCAGAGATGGATTAATACTGTTGATTACCTGAGTCGCCATTTACACAAACATTTGCAATTAAAACTGCAACAGAGCTATCAGATCAATAGGTACAGTTTGTGTCCTGTGGAGTGGGGGTGGGGCAGCAGCACTCAGGGTACTACATTATATTGCATTATTTAAACGAGCAAAGGTTCAGATTTCTCCTGATGATGCCCATAGATGGACGGCATCTGCTAACATAAGAGACTACCATAACTTCTTTTTGCACATCTTCTGCTCTGTTCGGATACGTTCACCTGATAATTTAGTTACAATCAAGAAACAAAAGCTTCTGAAACAACAGGATCCTTCTGAGCTGCTTTAATTAATAACAAAACCTGCAAAGCTGCAGAGGTGTAACAGAGTTTTTGGCTCAGTACACAGGAGAAATATGGTGGTTTCTTTTTGTTAAAAATGGCTGGACTGAAGAAAGATCGAGCTACCTCCTCTGTACAGACCATCCCAGCTCTTCTGCTGATAGAGTAATCAAAACAGTCAACCTTTTTAACCAAATCAACAGAAAAATAATGCAAAACAACAACCTTCAATTTCAAAATTAAAACTTCTAAAATTTTACTTTTCTTCTGGTGAAAACAGATCTATTTCCCAGCTGGTGGGATTTTCTGTAACAGCTGATCTTCAGTCCACAAAGACCGCAGCCTTTTGATTCAGTGGCCAAATGTTCTCAACATGTTCTAAACAAGCAGGAGCTAAAAGATGCCGAGTGGCATCTCACGTTTTAAGATAAAACTTCCAACTTAAGAAATTGGCTTAATTTTATTATCTAAGGCGTTCAAATAACAAAAAGTCAAACAATACATCGGAAACATTATATGCATTTATGTACCTGTTAATTTTCAAAAGAAAAATAAAGAAAATAAATCACAGTTGATTAAAAACGGGTGCAACGAGGGGCCTTCTCAAGAGCTTCGGTGTCGAGCCTTTAAAAATTCCCAAACACTGACCGTGGGTTTGTCAAAGCAGCTAAAGTAAAGCACCCCCTCATCTAAAAGGAAGAAAAAAAAAACAAAAGTTTTGTTTTTCGTTCTTGTTAAATAAAGGACAAATGAGAATTTTATTTCTCAAATAGTTTAGAGAATCAGGACAAGCATTTTCCCTGCGTCCTCCTCCGGATTAAAACCCGAAGGGGTGGGGGAGCCAAGCAAAAGAAAACTTGTCAGATGAGCCGGTGAGATGTCTCTGTGAGGAAGATGATTTATTCCCAGTAAGTCAGAGAGGGGAAATGTTCTGAAGAGAACAAGATAACCCCAAAAAAAAAAAAAAAATGTGTTCCCAGTGCATAGTGGTGGAGGTTCCTTATCCGTCCTCTTTGGGTGGTGTGTACCAGCCTGGAAGAACGGAGACCATCAAGTGTTGGTGGATCAGTAGAGAACTAAACTCCAGTTACAACAGAAACCTACCGTTCTTTTCATGGATCTGCACCAGGGATTTGTATGACTGTTGTGCTCTGGCAAGATTGTACTGGTTCTGGAATACAAGACATAATAAAACTGTTAATTAGGGCTGCAACAAACGATTATTTGGATAATCGATTAATCGGATGGGGTCTCGACACAATTAATCGGATTACATGGGGAAATTTTTTTAAACTGCTAGGGAAACGTTTTTTCTCTCCTTCCTTCACTTTATTAAACACAATGCTATTAGAAAACAGTTCATTAGCAGAAAACAACATATTATCACCTAAATTGTCTTACAGCTTCAGATAAGTTGCATTGCAATGCAAAAATGTAAGCATATCAACATGTTCCTGACTCAGGCTTGCTCGCTTCTTTGAGGCGATATTGCCAGCAGCAGAAAACAGACGCTCAGATGGAGTTGAGGTTCCTGGGATGGACAAGTAGGACCTTGCTAGCCTGGCCAACATGGGATATTTGTCTTGGTTCTCTTTCCACCACTTCAATGGACCTTCTTCTTTTGCAAGGTTCATTTCTTCAAAGTAACTGTGGACCTCATTCCTCACTTGGACATTCTCATCATCACTAGCTTCCACTTGCCCTGGACTGTCTTCATCACCATCAGAGTCAAGGAGTGAGTCAAGAAGAGTTCCTGATGTTGATTTAGGAGCTACATCACTGGTAGATGTGGTCCTGCTACTGCTTTGCTGCTGAATATCCACCTCCCTTCTCTCACCAAATGCCATTGCTTGGATTTTGCCCTGGACATCAAAGATTTCCTGTGGTGACAGAAACTTCAGTCTCCTGAACCTTGGGTCAAGGGCTGCTGCAAGAACCACTGTGTTTGGTAAAGTGTCTGAAAAAGATGTTTCAATCTTCCATCGCTTTTGCAGCTGCTCCACAGCTGTAAGCTTGAAAGCCTGCAGTGCAGCTGACTGAAAATCTGCACTCAGAGTGGACCTCAACCGCCCCTTCACCAGTGGAGGTATAGCAGATATAGTGGTGTATGTCTGCCCGCTCATACAGTGGCACATTCAAAAGGCTTAACAGCCTCCGAAAGCTCCTCAAGCAAGCTCCACTGGTCTGGTTTCAGGTCCAGATACTTTTTGTGCTTGTGTGTGACAGAGCTGTCAGACAGTGTTGCTGTCACGGGCCACCTTTATTCAAGCAGTCTGGTGATCATATACAATGTGCTGTTCCACCGTGTGCTAACATCTTGGACTAGGTTGTGCTCAGGTGTGGCCATTTGTTTCTGTTTTTCTTAAAGCTTTGTGGTGGCAAGCTCACTTCTCTTAAAGTGTTCAACCAGACATCTTGCCGCCCTAACAGCTTTATCGATCGCTTGATTCTTCAAAGCAGAGTTGATCACAAGTTGTAAGGTATGGCCCGTACAACTGACAAGAGGACCACCCATGTTTCTCCTCCAGGGTGTTTGCTGCAGCCACAACATTGGCACCGTTATCATGCATTAGAGCAATGATTTTGTTGAGAGGAATTTCAAATCGGGTTACTGCCTCCTCTAACCACTCTGCAATGTTGGATGCAGTGTGTCTGTCCTGCAGTGGTTTGGTGGTGAGGCAGATTGACTGCATTTCCCAGTCTTCTGTGATGTAGTGGCATGTAATTCCAAGGTACGCTTCAGTGGCAACGCTGGTCCAGACATCAGCTGTAAGAGCAAGCTTGCTGCTTGTTAATTTAATTACAGTCTTAATCTTTTGACATGTGTCCACATATTTTCTCTCCATGAGTTTGGTGAAATGGGTCCTGGATGGGAGGGTATAACCAGGATTCAAGGTATGGACCATGGCGATAAAGCCATAATCCTCCACCATTGAGAGAGGCCTTATGTCAGTCACCAGCATATTCAAGATGCTATCTGTGATGACAGCTGCTTGTTGAGGGGTGCGTGATTTGCTTGACAATAATAAGCTGCTCAGTGTTTGTTGTTTTGCCCTGGAGATCATAAAGAATAAAGTCAGCCTATTATGACACAACATGAAGTTTTAGCATAGCAAGTAAGAAAGTGTCAATTCCACCCAGCCCCTTCCATGTGTACCATGCGGTTTGCCAGACAACACCTCTTTCTGCTAACCCATTTTTCAAAAAATGAAAAACCAGAAATGAAGCCTTCAGAATACTTTGGAAGGAGATGACCAAGGGAGGATAAGGTGTATAGACAGAGACCCTAAGCTACACCTATCTGTGACCTAAAATGCTTGGTCCAAGTTAAACAGCTTCAGGGCAATTCTCATCTGTCTTGCTTGATCTCATCTGTAGACATTTATTATAATTCGGGATGTCAAACGACTAATTTTTAAATGTAATTAAACATAGGCTGTGAATTAATCAAAATTAATCTCCATTTCCAAAAATGACTGAAAAAATACCAAAAAAAAAAAATTTTGATAATAATAAAAAAATAAAAGGATGCCGCCCTCCTTGTGATGATGCCCTGAGCAAACGCCATAAAGTCACATCAAGAAATGCTGCTGATCGTTCCAATGAATTCCATTTCCAAAACAACACCAACAAATGAACATTTTAAATAAACTCACATTAGGCCACATGAAAGCAACTGAACCCACATTAACCAGTATATATATCTGCAGGTCTAAGGGAGCCAAATTTAAGACTTTTTAAGACCTTTTTTATGGCCACTTTGACCAAATTTAAGCTAATTTTTTAAATTAAATTTAAGCTATAATTTCCAGCTATTGCATGGAACCGGTGCTAACCACGTCGTGAACGTGGGATTAGCCATCCAGTTACCATTAATGTTGCACTTCCCCATGGCGCAAGCTCCCACTAGCATGCTCCTCTAAAAATAGGCCCCTTTCACAACCAACCGAATGTGTACAGTTCCGCTTACGCCAACATCATACACAAAAAATGCTGAACTAACTAGAAATTCACGAAAACTTTATAGAAATAAAATAATCTTGTTTATTGGGTCTTTGGTAACTTAAGACCTTTGGAAACTGTATTTAAGGATTATTTGTCATTTTTAAGGATTTTTAAGGCCTTAAATTTGGAAAAGCTAATTTAAGACTTTTTAAGGACCCGCGGATATCCTGTATATAACTGCACTCTCACACAACACCCCTGCAGCAACAGTTAGGACTCCCCCCTCCCTTTTGAAAGTGTTTTCGCTTCCGAGGACGCAGTGGTTGTAAAGCCACATGTTAGTAGTCTGGCCCCGGTGTGATCACCCCCCATGAGACATTGTCCCTTCAGCATGTCCTGGGTCTTCCTTTAGGTCTGTTCCCAGTTGGACGTGCCCTGACCAGATTCCCGAGCCACCTCAACTGGCTCCTCTCGATGTGGAGGAGCAGCAGGTCTACTTCGAACCCCACTAGGATGACAGAGCTTATAACCCTTTCTCTAAGGGAGAGCCCAGCCACCCTGCGGAGAAAACTCATTTCGGCCGCTTGTATCTACGATCTCGTTCTTTCGGTCACTACTCAAAGCTCGTAACCATAGGTGAGGGTAAGAACGTAGATTGACCGGTAAATCGAGAGCTTCACCATCCGACTCAGCTCTCTCTTCACCACGAAAGACCGGTACAACGCCTGCATCACTGCAGACGCAGCACCAATCCACCTGTCGATATCACGCTCCATCTTTCCCTCACTAGAACAAGACCCTGTGACATTCCAAGCTGGCTCTAGGCGAGTGGAATGTCACATTATTAAATGCGTTACCTAAACTAAAGCTTTTTGCGATGAAGCTCCACAAAGCAGACACTTACTAAACTTTAGCAAAACTCCCAACAAGAAAACACATTGTTGTATTTTTACACAAATTAAAACATTTGAAGACATTTTCTTTTGTTAGAGGCACATTTACAAGTCTGACGTTACCTTATTGGCTCCGAACTGCACTCTGGCTTTGCCTTTAACCAGAGTCGCATTTATCTGCATAATGACAGATTCTATTGAATAGGCACTGCTCCAGCCCTGAAAACACACACACACACACACACACACACACACACACACACACACACACACCCACACCCACACACCCACACACACACACATGAAACCCAACCAAACTGGCAATGGGAGATAAAGGAAGTAGAGGCATTTTGTGTTAACTTGTGCACGTGCCTGTTTTGTGAGAAGTTCCATACACAAAGCTCCTCCTCCGAGGACGTAGCTAAAAACGACACAAACAAAACCACCATCAATACCAAAGGGAAAATGGATAAGTCACCATTATTCCACAAATGCTAACTGGACTTGGTGATTTTTTAAAATTAATTAAACAAAATCCTGACAATGCAGAAAACAAGCTCAAACAGGAAAAGTCACAGGTAGGATAACAGAGTAATTAGCTTCTAACAGATAGGAAATAAGATTCCCACACACTCACCCTCCAGACAGCACAGGTGAGACAACCCGCACAAAAGGTGGGTCAAAGGGGAAATTATCCTGCCAGATAGAAAAGACACATTATAGTATTAAAACCTTACACCTTTTCTTCCGTAAAAATCACATATGTTCTCCTTTTAACTCACTTTATAAGAGAAATTGAGCAGAATAAAGTCCACTCCTTCCTTTTCTTTTAAAACCTGCAAGTCGCTATGTAACGGACTGTCTGGATCTACCCTGAAACGAAGCACACGCCGATTCAACAAATCACAGCTTTCTCACGAGCAGAAGATTTAAGAGACGTGGAAAACAGGACTTACTTCTTTAACTTGATGTGCCAATCATAAAGGCTGTCACTGACTAGTTCGACTGAATAAATACCTGAGGAATGAGTGACAAAAACAGAAGTTTAATCAGCTGATGACATGTTGATTCAGTAAAAACTACAATCATGGATCTCTGCAGTCACCTGTCTTGTAACTCTGTGACCTGTAGATCTCCCTGAGTTCCTTCATTAGGCGATCCGAGGCTTGGACCGAACCAGAAACAGCGCCCTGCAATGTCATTTAGGAATCAGAGACACGACCCAAACAAGAGGACTCAGTCAGGAACCAAATCAAAAGCACGGAGACAATCTTACATTTAGGTGATCTTGTCTCTGGTTTTTACGGATTTTCTCCAAGATGGCCAGATTTTCCTTTTCTATTCCATCATCTTCTGACTTTTTGCCTTCTGCTGGCTCCTCTTCTTTCATGTCGTAATGGTCCAGGTCTTGGTCCAGATCGATGTCCTGCTGCCACATTATTTTCATTCAAGTTTAAAAAAAAAACATCATATTAAGATTTCACAGTGGGAATTCTCTGGACTGTTAGTCATATACATACTTCTGCCATGTCTTCTTCTTCCTCCTCTTCAGATGTCACCTCATCCGATGGCCCATGCTGTGGCAGGGTCAAACATTTGAAAATAAAAAAAAGTTTGCGACAAACACTAAGCCCTTGAGTCGTGCACCTACCTTGCGCTCCTGGATAATTGGGGCAGCAGGTAGAGGCTGGTCCAGCATCTCCACATCGGGATGCTGGGGCAGGTTGTAAAGCCGACACAGATCGCAAATGAGGCGCTTCAGCTGCTGAAGAAGCTAAAAAGGATACCAAGGAAACAGAATATCTGATGAATAATTCCCCTGTCAGCAAAAACACAACAAGCTTCATAGATAAACAATAGCTGGGAACTGCTGCAAACACATACTCAGGTCTCAGGAAAACATCAGACCATTGGAGAAAAAAAGACTTCCCGATTCTGACTTCTGATGAAATGGCGTTGACAAAAAAAAAAAAAAAAGTCGTCTCGGGGAAAACTACAGTAAGACAAAACACCGTCAGATGAAATGGACCCAGGAAAATATGTGAAAGCGTTCTCAGATAGAAGCATCCTGCAGGTGGCGCTGTTGTCGGGTCATGCCTGAATTATTGTCCGAATAATTCAATCTGCGACAGCAGTAGAGCGCAAGATTCTGGCGTCTGACAACAACATGTACGCTTGATTTAGTCTCTCTGTACGTTTGCTAGTGTTATTAAGGATGCCAGAAACTATTAATACACTGAAATATCGCAATATTTCATGTTATGATACTGAATCAATATTTAAAAACAGCTAATCGATGTTTAATGAGAATTAACGTGCAAAAACTCCGACTTCACTGACGGAACAAAGAGATTTCGTGATAACAATGGGTGTGTCTCAAAAGCGTCTGGTCTGAGTTTTTCAATGAAATTCAGTCCTAAGAATCACGAATATCATCTGGATTTTAGTATCACAATATATCCTATTATCTTGCTGTGCCATTAAAGATCGGGTCCTACTTTTGCCGTGAGCCACTTCAGGGGCACATCAATTTCTACAGTTCACATAGGGTTAGACAGGAAATCACACAGTTTCGGTGTAAAATCTCCTGGTAATTTCCAAAATAAAAGTATTGTAGCAATGCAATTTCATATATATGTAGCTTATGTGTGACCTAAAAGCTTCTTTACTCCCTGCACTGTTCAAGAAGTGCAAGGGTTTGCTTTTCAGCTTCAATCCTGGCAGTGGAGGAGCAACATCATATGTGACAACAAACAGCAAAATCAAATGTAATTTCCTTCTTTTTAGTTTAATAGTGGGTGGCAAAAGCAAACCATGACCTTTGAAGTCTCGAGGGATTTTGTGATCTTAAGAACCCAGCGAGGAAGCCGTTCCACGGCCAAGACTCCTGGTGTGTAATGGTCAGCATTGAAGCTCGCGAGTAAAACGTTTCTCTTTCGTTCCACACCGCTGATGCTTCCGGGGTGTAATAGAGGTTAGGTGTGTAATATTTTTTCCCCCCAGCTTTTGTGATATTTTCATGACAAAACACAATTTAAATAAAGTAATAAAACAACGCCCAACAACAGCTTCACCTGCAAGATGCGTCTCCCTGAGGCATTTTGAGTTTTCTCAAAAACATTTTCTGACACCATTTAGTCTTCAACATCTGATGGGTTTATGGATGACAGTTGATACGTTTTTCTCCATGATGTGATGTCTGACTATGTTTTCCTGAGACCCGAGGAGGTCCTAAAATATACACCATACAAGAAACGACTACTAGATGAAAAGATCCATGAAGAACTGACTCACCAAGGTGCTGCCTTTTCTCACATCCTCCAAGCGCTCCAACACTTCAGCCAGACTGGGATCATCCGAGTCAACAAACCATATGGGAGGTGTAGATGGGTAGGATTCCTAAAACAGAGACAAACATTTAGCTGCTTGTCTATTGTTGTGATTCAATAATCTCTAAACTGGACAGGGACCAAAATACTGACTTGGGGAAAATATTATTCCAGACCTATACATGATTTCAAACCAAATGCTCCAGCCCACACATCTGCCCACTAGGCGTGGGCGGTATTACCGCATCCAGCCGGTGCTATAAAAATAGCAACAATGTCAGTTCCAATGCGGTCATGGGGGGTGTTGAACCATTTCGGTTTGGTCCAGTGGCGTACCGTTTCGGTTTATTTTTTCTGTAAAGTTGTGAACTTTTATTTGCGTGATTTCAATCCAGCAGACAAAAGTTTCAAGGTGAGTTTCCGCACTGTACTGAGTGATGCACGATGGCTGCACGCGCCAGATCTCTGTTTAAAAAATGTGATCTGAAAATTCTGATCAATGCCTTTCAGAGCGGATCAAACCAGCTGGCTGTCGCTGCTACGGCACGGAGGAAGCTTGTTATTTAATACGAGTTTTAAAGAAGAAACTCTGGGCGGTGTGAGGTGAGTTTTTAAGGCTCGCTGCAGAAATAAAAACACGGAGCATCAACACTCAAACACAACACTTATCTGCATGAGCGTTACACTCATAGCTGCACAAATAATCAGTGAAATAATTAAAGACATCACACTAGATCAGCAGCCTGTGATGACACCTGGTTCTGCTCACTATACGAGCTGCTTCAGATAAAATAAAATATAATAATAATAATAATATACCAAAAATTTATCAAGCCAAGCCCTCAAAAACGCTTACCTGAACCGATTAAGATTTTAGCGTACCGTTACACCCCTACTGATGAGGAAATTTGTGCAAACAAAAGATGACCCTGTCTGAACCACAGAAGAGCAAACTGTAGCCAAACCGAAATAGCATCTTTCTGTCTGAAGCCTGTTATTAAAAGACAACAATTCACTTTTCTGGTAAAAAATAAGCTGCCAGCCTTCCCCGGATGTGACTAGCACCAAAGTATCCTCCGTATGTCGGTGCCACAAACTCATCAGAGCGGGTTTTCAGCAGTCGGAGGTTGAAGCCGGAAAAGGTAAACATGCTGGTTTTTCCAGGAAAAAAAATATTTTTTATAAGCTTAGTTTTAAAAAAGTTGTTAATATTATGTGTTTTTGTTTTATTTATAGTGTTTGTTACTCAGTTTTCTCCTCCTTGAACCGTCACCTTATCGTGGTGGAGGAGTTTGAGTGCCCTAATGATCCTAGGAGCTATGTTGTCTGGGGCACTTAGTGCCCCTGGTAGGGTCTCCCATGACAAATTGGTCTTAGGTGAAGGGTGAGACAAAGAACGGTTCGAAGGATCTTTCATGGCGGTTAAAACGAAGAGTCGGAGTACCCGGCCCGGAGGGTTACCGGGATCCCAGCCTGGAGCCAGGCCTGGGGTTGGGGCCCGTGAGCGAGCGCCTGGTGGCCGGGCTTTCGCCCATGGGGCCCGGCTGGGCCCAGCCCGAACCGGATACATGGGCTCGTCCAACTGTGGACCCACCACCCGCAGGAGGAACATGAAGGGTCCGGTGCAATGCGAATCGGGTGGCAGACCAAGGCGGGAGCCTTGGCGGTCCAATCCCCGGACAAGAAAACTAGTTTTTGGGACATGGAACGTCACCTCGCTGGCGGGGAAGGAGCCGGAGCTTGTGGCAGAGGTTGAGCGGTACCGGCTAGATATAGTCGGACTCACCTCGACACATTGCATTGGCTCTGGAACCCGAGACCTGGAGAGGGGTTGGACACTCTACTTTGCTGGAGTTGCTCCGGGTGAGAGGCGGAGGGCTGGGGTTGGCTTTTTGTTAGCCCCGAGACTCTCTGCCTGTGTGTTGGGGTTTACCCCGGGGGACAAGAGGGTAGCTTCCTTGCGCCTTCGGGTCGGGGAACGGGTCCTGACTGTTGTTTGTGCTTATGGGCCAAATATCAGTTCAGAGTACCCACCCTTTCTGGAGTCCCTGGGACGAGTGCTAGATAGTGCTCCATCAGGGGACTCCATTATCCTGCTGGGGGACTTCAATGCTCACGTGGGCAATGACAGCTTGACCTGGAGGGGTGTGATTGGGAGGAACGGCCCACCTAATCTGAACTCGAGCGGTGTTTTGTTATTGGACTTCGGTACAAGCCGCAGTTTGGCCATAACGAACACCATGTTCGAACATAAGGATGCCCACCGGTACACTTGGTACCAGGGCAGCCTAGGTCACAGGTCGATGATAGATTTTGTAGTCGTATCATCTGACCTGCGGCCGTATGTTTTGGACACCCAAGTGAAGAGAGGGGCGGAGCTGTCAACTGATCACCACCTGGTGGTGAGTTGGATCAGATGGCAAGGGAACATGCCGCGTAGACCTGGCAGACCCAAACGCATAGTGAGGGTCTGCTGGGAACGCCTGGCAGAAGAACCTGTCAAGACGGTCTTCAACTCCCACCTCCGGCAGAGCTTTGACCACGTCCCGAGAGCAGTGGGGGACATTGAGTCCGAGTGGGCCTTGTTCCACTCTGCGATTGTCGAGGCGGCTGTTGCTAGCTGTGGTCGTAAGGTGGCCGGTGCCAGTCGTGGTGGCAACCCCCATACCCGCTGGTGGACACCAGAGGTTCGGGGAGCCGTCAGGCTGAAGAAGGAGGCCTACAGGGCGTGGCTGGTTTGTGGGTCTCCGGAGGCAGCAGACAGGTACCGGATAGCCAAGCGGGGTGCAGCAGTGGCAGTTGCCGAGGCAAAATCTCGGGCGTGGGAGGAGTTTGGTGAGGCCATGGAGAAAGACTATCGATCGGCTCCAAAGAGGTTCTGGCAAACTGTCCGGCGCCTCAGGAGAGGAAGGCAGCAACTCGCTCACACTGTTTACAGTGGGGATGGGGAGCTGCTGACGTCAACTGAGGCTATAGTCGGATGGTGGAAGGAATACTTTGAGGAGCTCCTCAATCCCACCAATGCGCATTCCGAGGAGGAACCAGAGCTGGGAGGCCTGGGGATGGACTGTCCGATCTCGGGGGCAGAAGTTGCTGAGGTAGTCAAACAACTACACAGCGGCGGAGCCCCGGGGGCGGATGAGGTTCGTCCTGGGTATCTCAAGGCTATGGATGTTGTAGGGCTGTCATGGTTGACACGTCTCTACAACATTGCGTGGTCATCGGGGGCAGTTCCTAGGGAGTGGCAGACCGGGGTGGTGGTCCCCATCTTTAAGAAGGGTGACCTGAGGGTGTATTCCAACTATAGGGGGATCACACTCCTCAGCCTCCCGGGAAAGGTCTACGCCAAGGTACTGGAGAGGAGGGTCCGATCGATAGTTGAATCTCAGATAGAGGAGGAGCAATGTGGTTTTCGTCCTGGCCGTGGAACTGTGGACCAGCTCTATACCCTTGCAAGGGTGATGGAGGGGGCATGGGAGTTTGCCCAACCAATCCACATGTGCTTTGTGGATTTGGAGAAGGCTTATGACCGTGTCCCCAGGGGCACCCTGTGGGGGACGCTCCAGGAGTATGGGGTGGGTGGCTTTCTGTTAAGGGCCATTCAGTCCCTTTATCAGAGGAGCGTGAGTTTGGTCCGCATAGCCGGTAGTAAGTCGGACCTGTTCCCAGTGAGGGGTTGGACTCCGCCAGGGCTGCCCTTTGTCACCGGTTCTGTTCATCACTTTTATGGACAGAATTTCTAGACGCAGCCGTGGTGTGGAGTGTGTCGAGTTTGGTGGCAGGAGAATCTCGTCTCTGCTTTTTGCGGATGATGTGGTCCTCCAAGCTTCATCCAGCTCTGACCTTCAGCTCTTGCTGGGTAGGTTCGCGGCCGAATGTGAAGCGGCTGGGATGAGGATCAGCACCTCCAAATCTGAGACCATGGTTCTCGACCGGGAAAGGGTGGCTTGCCACCTCCGGGTCGGGGGAGAGGTCCTACCTCAAGTGGAGGAGTTTAAGTATCTCGGGGTCTTGTTCACGAGTGAGGGTAGGAGGGATCGGGAGATCGACAGGCGGATTGGTTCGGCGTCTGCAGTGATGCGGACGCTGAGCCGATCTGTCGTGGGGAAGAGGGAGCTGAGCCAGAAAGCCAGGCTCTCGATTTACCGGTCGATCTACGTCCCAATCCTCACCTATGGTCATGAGCTTTGGGTAATGACCGAAAGAACGAGATCGCGGATACAAGCGGCCGAAATGAGTTTCCTCCGTAGGGTGGCCGGGCTCAGCCTTAGAGATAGGGTGAGGAGCTCGGACATTCGGGAGGGACTCGGAGTAGAACCGCTGCTCCTCCGGATCGAAAGGAGCCAGTTGAGGTGGTTTGGGCATCTGGTCAGGATGCCTCCTGGACGCCTCCCCGGGGAGGTGTTTCGGGCATGTCCTGCCGGCAGAAGGCCCCCGGGTCGACCCAGGACACGTTGGAGAGGTTACATCTCCAATCTGGTCCGGGAACGCCTTGGGGTCCTGCCAGAGGAGCTGGTGGACAAGGCCGGGGAGAGGACGGCCTGGAGCTCCCTAATTGGGATGCTGCCCCCGCGACCCGGACCCGGATAAGCGGAGGAAGACGAAGACGAAGTTACTCAGTTTCTGAACGGTGAAAGTCCAAACAGACAGCTTAGTAATGCCACTTGAGGCTTTTTTCATCATTTTAAAATTAGTCCCGGTAATACCGCACACCTTGGTAAATTGAGGAGGAAGATAGATGGTATTAAAATTTGGAAACCGCCCAAACCTACCGCCCATTAAGCCAAACGATGCGTCTAGTGTCAGCAACAGAGCCAGAACACATCCAGCACAAACGACACGAGGATGCGAGCGTCTGCCTAGCTCCATTTAGACCTTGAACTAAATGTTTAATTCGCCTTAAGGTTTAAGAGGAAATAGTAAAACAAACTAAATGAAAGATGATAGAAATGCTGTTCAAAGCACTGATTTATGCTCCCTCAATGTGATTTACTGGGAACTAGGAACACCACGTCGTTCCTTGTAATCATCCAAACTTAAATATTAGATTCCAACATAACTACTTCTACT